CCGGGAATAACGGCTTAACGTGCCTTTCGAAGCACGGAGGAACTCGAGATGATTTTTGGTCACCCATCCAATGACCGACCACTGCGAAAGTTGCTTAACTACAACGATCGCAGCTAACCACTTGCGTAATCGAGCTCCTATAAGTGGTTGCTTTTTTTTTTTAAATAAAAGTGAAGTATCATCTGCAAACAATACTATCTCGTGATTATCCCTTACAAAGTAAGGTCATTTATATAAATTAAAAACAAGAAAGGACCAAGAATCGAGCCCTGAGGAACACCCATCTTTACTAACGCTCCGGGAGATCTTTTGCCATTGATGTCAACTGGATCCTATCGCTCAAATATGACACAATGAGATCCAGAGTGTTACCTTCAGGTAGTTCATATTCGGACACCCATCCAATGACCGACCACTGCGAAAGTAGCTTAACTTCAACCATCGCCACCTAACGCGCTAAACCCTTACCTTATCGAGTTCCAATATGAATATACAAAATACTAATTTCCTTTATTCTAAACCGCCCTCGCTCATCACTTACACGAGCATTATAAACAATTCCAATTAAACAAACATTATAGCATTTAACGCTATTCGTCATCTAGTTTCCTTTGAATTACCAACATTACAGGCCTTTTAAGTTCATTTGTCGGAATGATGGAAACAGTTCCAACCAATTGAGGCATGGTTAATGAACGGCCATCGCACACTATCTTTATAGCCCTTTGTGCGCCGGAGACGTGCGCAGTGTCACATAAAACACCATTGAAACTCGTGATTAAACTTTTGTTTAGAGATTGTAAACACTGCTCTATTGTGATGGAAAAAACAATGTCTAGATTCAAAACAAGAAAAAAACGAGTGTGCTTATGACCACACGACTAAAGCACGGTAATAATATCATACAGTATTCTATCTTCATACAAACGGTCGGAAAGCGAGTCATACCTACGCCACTCGAGTTCGATGTGCTCTCGGCGACCCAGTCGCGAATGCGCCGCCGCGCCGCAACGACGACCGAACGGTCTGAATTGTTTTTTATGCAGTTAGCCGTGCTTAAATGTGCGTTTTGTATTGTAAATATTTGATTTAATTAAGTAGATACCTACATAATTTAGTATGGAAAAGAACAAACGACGATCAATATCGTACAACAGCACAATTGCTGTTTTTGGTTGCTTGAACTCTTCAATAACGCACCCAGAGATATCATTTTTTAAATTACCTGAAATATTGGAAAGGTGTCTTACCTTTATAGAATACTTTTTATATACCTATCTACTAGTACGTAATTTGTTTCTAATATTTAGGTATTTTAGTTTTTCCATCGGGCAAAATATCTGGAATAATATGTAAATAAGTCATCTTAATCATCATCAACAGCCTATCATAGTCCACTGCTGGACATAGGCCTCTCCAAATGCACGCCACTCAGATCGATCTTGGGCTACTCGCATCCAGCTCTTGCCAGCCACCTTGCGCAAATCGTCACTCCATCGTGCCTGAGGACGTCCTACACTACGTTTGTGTAAATAAGTGGTTAGTATAAAAAAGAGACAAACGAGTAATCTACCTACACTCGCGTTAAAAACAAAACTACATAAAATACTGTAGGCGGGCGGCCCTACCGCGTGCTAACGCAGCGCTCGGCCGTAGGCATTTATTTTCAAGGACAGGGCGGAGTCACAATACTGTATAGATAATATTACCGTGACTAAAGTGAAACTTCTTCAGCTTCTTCTTGTATGTATAAATGCATATGTGTGTGTACAATATATATACATATATGTACATATATAGGTACATATTTCATTTACTAGCTAAAGAGAAAGAGAGAAAGAAAATATGCGCGCGCACTTCTTTCTCTTGTTTATATATCCCCCACTCAACTCCCGTTTGCCTCGCCCGAACACACTTTTCGTAACGCGTAACGCATTCGCCAACTTACCCCCCAAGTCAAGTGTGCGTAAAGAAGTTTTATTTCAAAAGAAGCGATCTTAAAAGTTATATTTTTTTATGATGAAATTGTAGTCCATACGAATCCAACTAAGGAATATGGTGACGGATGATTCACCAGAGACAACCAAATTAACGCGTCTCTTTTAGTTTGCAACAATCTAAAAATAATCCTAACTTTCGGAGATTTAATCCCCTCCGGATTACCAACATGCATATCCATTCCACATGGATACGCGTTTGTGGATCAAAAGTCCACAGAAAATAGGAATTAACTGCGACATCTGTTAATCCGCTAGTTTTATTACCTGGCTCAACTAATAAAAACCGTCAACAACTTTCTTCAAACAAATTCAGATGTATTTGATTTCCTTGTTGTAAAACATTTTTACTAGACTATGACAAAACCAACCTTTGAGATATGGCCAAAAACGGCGCGTAAACTTTAAATTATTGCTATTATGTAACCATTCATCACATGACTGAATGAATTAAAAACTGTTAACTTGTTTAATACAGAAAATGATTGATTTATGTACCTGTTTTATGTACCAATGACTACTTAATAAATGATTATAAAAGAAATGAGAACGTTACCCTTTCTAAATTTTGATTACCACAATAATTCAATCCTCCAATTTTCCAATTCAGAAGATGATTATGTACATTGGTACTAGTAGTCATTGGACTACTTTAATGATTATACATATAACAGAAATGAAAATATGAATATATACGTAATCAATCGATTTTAATTTTTCATTTTACCAATTATTTCTCTATGACAAAATATATTATTTAAGTATTCGGTATTCGGCCGAATAATATGTAGATATTCGGTATTCGACCGAATATAATAAAAGCAGCCGAACAGGCCGAATACCGAATAGTAACCGAATATTCGTTGCAAGTCTAATTTTTACAAATTTCCTCGGGGAGACTAGCGTTTTTTTAATAGACAACCCCTGAAGAATTGTTATGTGGGTAATATCTTTTTTGTGTATTACCAAGGGATCGGGAGTACTGTACTAAATACTATTTTCTTATAACATAATTGCTCTCTCATAATTGACTCTAAAGTTAATGTCTTACAAAACTTCTAAGATTAACCAATTGCCATCAGGCGGGCCATGTGTTTCTTTGTCGACCTTTTTACACATAAAAAAAGTTGACGTGCGCAGTCGTCGGCACTGGATAATTACGCACCGAGGCGAGAGATTGACACGTTAATAAAAATCAGAGGAGTTGTCTTAATTGAATTGCATCCTTCTTTCGGCTGAAGTGCGGGCACTTAGGCAATCCATTTAGAATCCCTGCAATGAAATCAATTATATTTTTATAGCGTTGAAGGCTGCAGCTGAAGGAGTCACCTTTACCAATAAATATTTACTGGCAATGAAATGAAATGAAAAGTCATTTATTCAGTCTAGGCTGTTACAAGCACTTGTGAAGGTCAAGAAGCTACGCCATCGGTTCGCAAAACTACGGCGGGAGACCTTGTACTGAGAAGAACCGGCAAGAAACTCAGCAAGGGCTGCTTTTTTCTCCCTGTATTAATATATACGGAGTCGTCAAGTTGAAAAATGACTTCAGACATACTTCTGAAGTCACCTTCCATTACATTATTTTGGGTATAGATATATAGTTACAACAAATTTTATATTTAGTATATAGGATATATAGCTCGTATGCCACCTATAACATAAAAAAAAAATAGGAATGAACACAGTAACCTCTATTTATATAATTATTTGATCTAACGGCAGCAGTGCCTAGTGTTATGGTCACTCATTATCTGTTATCTGGGTACATCAAAAAGGAAATTTTACAAGAAAAATTCAACTAAGTAGACATCGGAAATCTCCTTCGCTCTTCGGGTTATTGCACCGTCTTTCAAAGGAGACGGTTTGGACACTCAGACGGACAGTCTTCGGCAGACTCCAATTCTTTGTGACACGTGTAGTGCACTTAATTGTATATCGTTTGGCAAAAATCTAGTATTTATTTTATCCCCGTCTTTGTTTAAATAATATTTGTAATATAGAATCATAATATAATTATTTATTGCCAAATGGAAAGTTAATTTGTCTATTTTTGTCGCCAATGTATGAATCAAGTATTTTCTATTCAATAGGTAACTAAAGCAGTAATAATGATTCTCTTCATCTTTTCATAACGTTAGTGGGTATTATCTGGATATTTTATTTCAAGAAGAATCTATCTTTATATATATAATTCTTCTGTGAGTGTGTATGTCACTGAACTTCTCTTAAACGACTGGACCGATTTTGACGAAATTTTTTGTGTGTGTTCAAGGGGATCTGAGAATGGTTTAGATTCACAATTTTGTCCGCTGGACAACCCCTATTTTTTTAGGGCGGTACTAAGTTCGCTGGGTCAGCTAGTATATATATATAACTCAAAGGTGACTGACTGACATAGTGCATCTATCAACGCACAGCCCGAACCACTGGACGGATCGGGCTGAAATTTGGCATGCAGGTAGATGTTATGACGTAGGCATCCGCTAAGAAAGGATTTTGATCGATTCTACCTCCAAGGGGATAAAATAGGGAATGAATGTTTGTATGAAACTTTGTCAATTTTAAACCGATCGGGCTGAGACTTTACATGCAGGTATAAGAAGAATCGTAGATGAATGTCATTGTGTATAATACAAGCCTGAGAACAAAAACTGTAGTTTACACTTCAGCTCAACACCGAAGCGAAGCGAGGGCGGGCCGCTAGTCAAACATAAATTGATATAATATGTTCACCACGATTTCACGAATACCATGCTTAAAAGTACCTATCTGTTCATGTTCTATATAAAACAAGCTTTCAAATGGTATATGTTTGTCACTGCCGGAAACGGACTACCAATTTTGAACCATATTATGTGACAAGAATTAAACTTATTTCTGTAAGTTTTGCCTTCGCGGCGATACCAACTTTGGAAGAATACAAATCAATCCATATTATCAACCGCCTCCATCCATCTTTAAAATAAGCTTTTTTTAAAAGATATTTGTCATTGTTTCCAGGTACCACCCCTCCTAGGAGTATGGGGCCAACTAGGACTAGATTCCAAGACTTTCAGCTGCACAATACTCCCCAAAGACAGTAAATCACCAAAGAAATACCTTTTCGTATTCGGTTTCGCTCTGCCGTGTCTTGTCATCATCGTGTCGTATTCCTGCATCTACTGGCGAGTTAGAGAGAGCAAGAGGAAGCTGGAAGGCAGAAGGTGTGTATGTGGGTGAGGATCAGCTCAGTATTGTTTGGGCTGGTGGTGGTATTGCACTTTGTTCATACTGTCACGGGCACGGTGTCTCCAATCAAAGCGCGGCAAATGCACGCGACCGCAATAGCGACCAATCGGAACACTACTTTTATGCTGCACCTGTACTATGATTGGTCGATTAATTTATCACGCGATAAGGTGCACACGGCTTTATAAATACAGTGCGACAAGGATCTGTGAACGCGAGTGACAGTTCAGGGAGGGCGCCACTGTCTACGTAAATGACGTACAAAATATGGCATGTCCAGTTCCAATTTTCGCCACATTCATAAAGACCCTTGTCGCCATAGACAAAGTATCAAAGTTGACACCAAAGGGCAATGCCCACTTTGTATGGGAATTTGGCTTAACATGGACAGACATTTAAACAAGTAAAATTATACAATGCAAGAAGTTTAAACTACCTAGAACCTTTGAATCATAATAATTTTGTATCAGTATCCTTTAAAACAATTTTGAGCACCGCGATGAAAAAAGGTAATTTAAGCACAAATAAGTCATTTTCGCAACCATATATTCGAAGTCATTATATTACCAATACGATGTCTAGACACTGGGTAGATGCATTTTCTGTTACATAATTTAATAAAGTCGAAAATAAACATTTATTCTTTAAACATGCCGCGAAAATTTTAAATTGCTCAATATGGCGTGCGTCATCACATGCATAATACCAAACGTCATAACGAAAAAACGCAATGTTCTTTTGACAGCTTGGATGCGTTCCAAACCTACGCTACAAGTGCAACTTTTAACTGTGACGTTCAATTTTGACATAAATGTATGTCTTTGGATTTTGATATTTGTTGCACCTGGACATGGAGCACCCCCACTAGAGTCCGCATACAAGGCAAGCGCTTACGCCAAGCTTAAGTAGTATTTTACCTATGCGTGAGGCACGCCCACAGACGTCGCGATACATCATTTCATTTGGTAACCAAGCGTCGGTCTAACTGCTTCTCTCGTTTTCGTGTTAAAAAACTGTAAAAAATGCCTTACTATGCAATTCAATTGTGTGGAAAGTAGAGTAAAACTTCCAGTCTTCAAAAATTTAGTATTACTTTTCACCGGTAAGTTTAAATACATTACAAAAAGACAAAAATACTCTTATATTTAATTGCTGTTAATTGTATTTATTTTTTGGTGAACGCGTTGATGTCTTTGTACATTGTCCCTTTCTCGCATACGCTACATCATATATGCTATCCCAGTCTCACACCGGCACGTGTATTGCTAGTGACGCAGACGCAGCTCATGTCTCAACCCGTAAGTTTATCGATAAGTTTGTCAGCTATGGAAATGGAAAAAATAAATAAAAACTATTTATTTCATCGTATTCAATAACAGATGTCATGAGTATACAACCAACAGTTTTTATTTGATTTCAAACATATCCTACGAAAATTTGAAAACGCGAAAATTTGTATGGATATTTGTTAGTCTTTCACGCTAAAACGGCTAAACAGATTTGTATGAAATTAAATGCGCATAGTTTTCGACCTAAATAAAAACATATAATTAAAGATATTAAATAGCCTAGATACACCATGAGCGCTCAAAATGTGTCCCAATCAAGAAGTGCTTGAGCTCCTCTCAAGTACTTCTTGGTTCACAGTCACGCGCGAACCGCTGAAAAGTCAAGATGCCGCAAAGCTAAAATAAATTAATAACTTAAATATATAAATCGAACTATTTGTGCTATTTGTGAACTTATGTGAACTATTTGTGCACTTTCTAAAATCGTCGAAGGCATTATTTTATCTTTTAAAACAAGTAAAAAATGTCTGCAATATTATTTGACAAATTGCGACTACAGCGAATTGTGTGCATGCAGCTAATTTAAAAGGCTCATTTTGAGACGCGTATCCGTGTGGTCGGGGTCTCTTTTTGATATCTTCCCATTTTGACTTAATTTAAGATGAATTGTTATAATTTTCTGTACATAAGTACAGAAGTACAGAAAATTATGTTATATTTTTGTATGAACAAAAATATAATGTATTTAAATATAAATAGTTCATCTTCGTAAAAATGGGTTTTACTAAATTTCTTTATTGTCATAAGTACCAAAAAATAATAATTAAGGGGCCTTTATCTTCGGGTCGGTGCGAGTTTCTTTTGTTTTCGATTCTGTACCGAATCTGAACAGATTCTTTCCGAGTGCATATAATTAAGTGAGAGCTTTCCCACTAAGTGGTTCCCGTACAGATCTTTACCGAGCGGATACTTAGCTCGCTGTGCCGAGTGCTACCGATTCATTCGACTCGCCTATGCTGTCACTCCTGCAAACAAAACGAAATGAATCCGTACTGACCCGATGAGTAAGGCGCTTTAAGTTTTAAAAATTATTTTATGATAATATCATCATATTATTGCCTATCTATATATTTGTCACGTGTTTTTTTTTTTGTGTTGCTTATATATTATTTAGTTTGTAGTTACTGGTCGCCTCATGTAATTAGAACGCACCAAAGTACTAGGCCTCTATACTAAATTGTTTATCGATAGGAAATATCGACATTTTCTAAAATCGATCTTACCCTCATCACTTCGCTGCACTGAGTATATGATCTGACCTTGACGCGTCCAATCACAACGGGGCTGACCTCCCTGCACGCCGCCGACTTTGGCGATTTTGATTCCAAACAAAATTTGTGTGATGCGGACTCTAGTGGGGGTGCTCCGTGCACCTGGAGCATAGGTTTGGAAAGCAGCCCTTGTCTGGAAATGTCATCTTAGACCCGGCCAATCCTAGCCGTTTTCGCTAAAATGACGTGTGCTTAATTAAATTCGGCCAATCATAGCCGTTTACACTGACATGACGTGATGCTTACTTAAATTCGACTAATTACAGCCGTATTCGATCACGTGACATTAGATGAGTAGTAGAAGGAAGTGATCATATTGTTTTAATTTAATTTCATTGTATTATTAATAACGCTCCACTTGTTACGGCTATAGAAATTGGTCAAAACATAAATAAAATAATATTGTAAAATTTGTGTTTGCCAAGCACTTTGTCCATGCTGAGCCTATTTTGGGCATTGTCCTTTGAGTTATGCACTAACAAACGCCTCGTGTCTATATTCTTCATTAGCCTTCTTACACAAGCTTGAACACTACAATTTGTTAATCTCATAAACATTATCTTAAGGATCTCACGTCTATAGATTTATAGAGAAATATAAATTCAGAAAAAACTCATCTTGTTTTCTTTCACTAGCAAACTCAGCGGGCAGACAGCGAAAGAGAAAGAAGAGGACTCCCGTCTCACAACACTGATGCTGACCATCTTCCTCTGTTTCTTAGCGTGTTTCCTGCCCCTGATGGTCATGAACGTAGCCTTCGACGGGATAACCTACCCTTGGTTCCACATAATAGCGTCCATTTTAGCTTGGGCGTCGAGCGTCATCAACCCGCTGATTTACGCGGCGACGAATAGACAATACAGAGCGGCATACGCGAATCTACTAAAGTTCTGCAAGAATAATCCGGTGGCTCGAAGGACCACGTGGGGCAGTCGAACTGTGGGACAGTCCTCCAATTCGCCAAATTACGTAGAAAAGAGGAAAGATAACCCAACCAAATTATGAGGACCTACTTGATTGCAAATGTGTGAGAAACACTAATCTGATTCTTATTTATATTCGAGCTAAGGTTGATTTTTCATCAATCACCGTTGTTTGATTTCTCGAACTACCCTCATCCAATGTGGATTTCGTTGATACTCATTATAGATAGTGATTTTGTGAAGGATTTGATTTCATAAGCTAAAGGGCAGCTAGTGATAAAATAAAAGGAATTCTCGAACTGTACCGATGAACCAATTATAATGCGATTGAACTAAGAATAGGACCGACTGGGCGCCACATTTTGACGTCATAGCTGTCAATTCAAACCAAATAGGTAGAGTGAGCAAAAAAATGTTGCTATTTAATAAAACTTATTTAATAAGATTAAATAAGACAAAACATCTAATGTTTTAATAAAATTAATTTACTAAGGTTGAGAAAGAACACAACCAATTTTTAATAGTATTTCTTTATTAAGACTGTGTGAAAAAAAACATTATCAGAATCTAGCTCTTCGATTTCACTCATCTCTGCACTAGCGCCGGAGAAGTTATGAATAATCATACAGGTCACAAACGAACATGCATCCTATATGTAAACGAAAGTTTTAAATCGAGTTTTTGAACGCAAAATAAAGTGACACTTGGTTGACGATTTAGGTTATCAACCATTCATAGCCAAAGCTCAATAAATGAAAACAAAAAACAACTAATATTAATTATCAACATTTATTATTGTTTGTTTAAAAATATTTGGTTTTTATTCTAGAATCAGCTGAGTGCTAAAAAAAGTGTACCGAGATTTTTTTGCAAACCGTCATTTTCAAGCGACATTTGACAGATGGAGGTCATTGGATTTCCTATTCTTATTTGAATCGCATTATACTTGTTTATTATTTATGTGATTTTTAGCACAGAACACAGAAAGAGCTTACAAGGGCCTTGTGGGTGGGGCAGGCGCGCCACAGTTATGTGTGAGCAAATGCTCATAACTTGACACAAAACTTGGTTCTAGTTGCGTCGTTGCTCTCGGCTGTGATCGCTGATTGGTTCGATAGTTTGATGTCGCGTCGTTTGATTGGCTATTATCTATTAGGTGGAAGTGTAGTGGGGGCGAGCCGGCGATATCGGTTCCCGTAAAAACGGTTTAAGAACACCCCTCTAACCTCCTTCTGTGTTCTGTGATTTTAAGAAATAAAAGACAGCAAAAGTTGTTAAGTCAATTGACAATCACATGACTGACATGACATGACTTCCCAGTGTCCTTGCGGTTGTAGCCAATTAAATATATTTATATAGAAATACCTATATTAACCTTTATTTTGATAATAATCTTATGTTCAATGTAAATAAATGTTTATCAATGTAAATACATTTAATAACATCTACCTACCTTAACTTAATTAGAAAAGTAACAAAAATACTTAACCAAAGTCGATGTATTCATATTTGATTCATATTAGTAAAGATTATGATTAAGTTAGTATAATATTTATTATGTAAGGGGATTTTTAGGATAGGAACAAGTTTTTAGGGAAAAAAACTTTATATGCAAGAGCTATGAAAAATAAGTTCCGCTGTTAATCGTAATATTATTTAATTATATAACATTGAATGACGATTGCAAACATTGATCACAACATATACTTCATTCCAGATAAAATTAAAAAAAAGCTGATAGAAGGAGAGTTAAGAAACCTTTTCATGACATGTATAATAATAAAATATGATTTTCATAGTTAATATTACATGTATTACCAGATATTATATACTGAAATAACAATCTAATTAAATAATTATTAATATTTATAATATATATATACAATTACGCAATAAAAGTAAAAACCTTAAAAATAAAATTAATAACTAAAATATATTATTAAAAGGAGTCCCTTTAGGCAAGGATCCGAAGATACTGGCAGCGTTACCCCTTTGAATATTATATATTATTTTTATTTATTACCAGATACTCTGGAATGTATTGTTACTACGTATTTATTATTATTTGTGTGACTTTCTTTCTACAAACATTAGAACTGGGTCAAGATAGTAAAAATATTATTTTTTCATTACTCAATCAACTACACAAAATGTAGTTGATTGAGTAGTTTATGTAGTGTATGTAATGTAGTAATATTTCATATTTCGAACCACTCTTGTTATAATATAAATAGTAAATATTTTATTTTTTGTGTAGGTAATGGTTTAGATGGTTGTGCTTGTATATTTTACGCATAAATTGAGAAAAGCTTTATTAAACATTAATTACCATAAGCAGAGATGAAAAAGTGCACCTATTAAAGAACCATTTTTTACTTCTTTTTAATTTTATTTGGAATTAAGTAGGTAGGTATATATAATATATTGTAAGGAGTAACATTTACCTTGCTATTGACTATAATGTGTAAATACTTGATTCGAAGATTTTGCTACAAGTATTATTCACAAAATACATAATTTGCTACAATAACATAATTTTTTACATTTATTTTCCATAAAGATAAAACTTTTGTTTTGTTTAGCTACTGTAATAGGTGTGTTAAAAAAAAAAAACTTTTTCAATAAGGGTATTTCATTTTTGTTTAGATGTCATTTTCACAAAGTTATTTGTAAAGCGTAAAGTAATAAGAAACTTGAGCCATGGAGCATTAAACCTATAAGAAAAATAAGAAAATAATTTAAACAGCAGAACATAAAGAACGATATCGCAAACTATCATTCCATACTTTATTATTTATGACTTTTATGTATAACATTAGTTACCCAGTTACTACAATTATAACTTCAGAAAATAACTTTATATTTTATGAACCTGCTTATTTATTAGTAGATTACAGTATTATTATGCCGGCACTTCAATTGTCTATTCGTGTTTGCTATTTGTAAACTTGACAACAGTCTGTCCTTATCATGCTTTGGAACTAGTGGCCCCCCGTGACTTCGTCCACGTCAACTAAGTTTTTTGAAAATAGGAAGTTGTAATTTTTTTTAAAGCATATATAACTGCTTGATGTTAAAATTGAAAGAAAATATAACTAGAAAAAAATCCACGCGGACCAGGCAGCAGACGGGACTCGAATCCGCACCCTTCCCAATCCTGTATAATATATTTTCTTTAGATTTAAAAATCAAGCAGTTTAAAAAAATTAAAAATTATAACTATTATTGCTATTTCTTCTTTCAAATGTTTAATACTTCTAAAAGTATTCATTTGACATTGTGGGTTACTTATAATGCGAAGAGATGGCGCTGCCTTGCAGCTTAAGAATGGCTAGAAGAATTTCGACGCGGTCCGTGAGGGCCGCGGTGGCATAATTGGTCAGAGCATTCGCCCGGATTGCGAAGGGTGCGGGTTCGAGTCCCGTCAGCTGCCTGGTCCGCGTGGAATTTTTTCTAGTTATATTTTCAATAGGAAGTTGGTTACTGGTACTAGTTAGTTTACCAGTAACCAAAAAAATATCGTTATATAAATGATCTATATAATCGATATAATATAAAATGTAACTATGTATATGTGTGCCAAATTTTATCCAAATTCGTTCAGCATTTTTCTGATTTAATTAAGCCCTGCAGTAAAATTTACTATTCCTTTTCACCCTGTTAGGTGCATAATTTAAAGAACCGTGTATCAGGTTAATTCCTTATTTCAGGTCTCAATTAATACAAATACTGAGTTGAACTTGAGTTAATCGATTGCGCGTAAAAATTCATTGCCATAAAAAAACTTGAGCACCCTCCAGAGTTTAGAGGTAATTTAGGCAAAACAGAAATGGCAAGCTTTATAATTTATTTAGATAAGTGTTCGTGCCAAGTTTCAAGTGTATTGACTCAAGGAATAAGATTTTGCATATACCTGTATTATATATTTTAAATATTTGGGGGGTGAATTATGAAAAACCCTTTCTTGATGCACCCCTTAACTTGACGACGTCCGTGGCCGAGTGGTTTGTACGCCGGGTTTCATGGTGTCGCCGACTTGAGAGGTCTGGGGTTCGAATCCCGGTGGGGGCAGATGTTTGTGTGATGAATACGAGCATTTGTACTCCAGTCATGGATGTGTAATATCTATCTCTATATAAATATACTTATACAGTATATGTATTCTATCCGTTACCCTAGCATATAATACCATAACACAAGTCTTATAGTGCTTACTTTGGGGCTAGGCTAATTAGTATGAGTGTTGGAAATATTTATTTATTATTATTTATATATTTAACTTCATAAGGAACCTACGTACTAATTTTGGAGTCTCTAAATCCAGCGGTTTGAACTGTGCGTTGTTGTCAGCCAGTCATTGAGTCTTCTTTAATTTATTTTAAGATGAAAAGGAGAGGCTGATGTTTGTCAAGTTTACAAATACCAAAAACGAATAACCAAGTGAAGAACCTGCATAATATAAACATGAAAATCAAGCGTGAATCTCTCAGCTGATTGTTTGTGCATTTTTATATTGTTAACGCCTTTATTGCTCAGCAATGAAAACGATAATATCCACTTTGTGACTTAAAATGCACCTACAAGCTATTTGTTAAAGACTGATTCGCTAAAAGTCAATTATTGTGACATTTTTGACCCTTATTAAAAATTTATAATATAAAAAGAATGATTAATTAATTTATTATATCAATTATGGATACCTATTGTAATATACAATTTCATTTCTTTATCGCATGCAAATATGTCACATCACATATTGGTGACGATTTTGGCACGATTCTGTTAGCTTTATACTAAATTTAACATCTGTATTTTTGCTTGTTAAAGTGTACTTTAATTTGCTAGTTAAAAGATTTACAATTGACTGAGAATATTTACCATTTTTTAGGAACTCGGTGTGTTGTTGATTTGACTTCTCTTGTTTCCGGAACCTGTATAACCGCAAATTTTTAAATTACCTATATTTAAGAAAATAATCCAAAGCACTGAAAAACAGAAGTAATAAATGTTTGTTTCATAGGTATGCAAAATTATGTATTTATAATTTAAATTTATTAATTTATAGGTATCCATATTTTATACGAAACCAAAGTGAAAATATTATGTTTTATTAAATATTACGAAAAAATCACTTGTTTTATTATCCGAATATAGATAGAGAAAAACTTTATTCGGACCAACCTGCATACATACAAAAACTGACAAAAATACAAATTTGAAATGTTGTTGCACTTGCTTGGTTTGCCGATACAAGGGTCAGTCATACAAAACACATTAGAAAGTCGGGCCAAAAATGGGTGCAAAGTCCAGGGGCTTTTTCCCCGTAGGAGTGCTGGCGCCGGGCCCTAGGGTGCGCCAGTCGGGCCAGGCGATCAACATCTGGGGGGCATTCGCCTAACGGGATTGCTTTGGAAAACGTTATCGCTTACGATTTCATTTTGTTATTTCTAGCCACCTGAGGTTTTCAAATGCCACGCGCTCTTTTTTTTGTATTGGTAATAACAATATTAAAGAAAATGAAAACCTTCGGCGGTCAGAAATAACAGAATGAAATCGTAAGCGATAGCGGTTTCCAAAGCAATCCCATTAAGCGAATGGCCCCCTGGTGGTAGATAGTACCTACCTACCTACCTACTTACCTTACCCAACTACAACTTTATAAATATATTAGTTTTTTTAGTCAACTCTGTCAAACTATAATACACATATCTTCTATATTTTTGTAGCAGTCTATACAATGAAAAATTAATTTGTCAAAATTTTTGAAAAAGGGGGCGCATTGTTAGCTTTCTGGCAAAGACTGCCCCGCGGGTGCAAGATTCGGGGCCTATAAATCCATTCCTGACGAATAGTCATGTTATGTCATGTGGTAAAGTGCTGGAATTACCAGGGTCGGATTTAGGGGTGTGACCCTATTTTAAAATCTGGCACCTCGCGCCTCGGGGCTACTTGCCATTTGAAAGCCCTTAAATGCGGCGCTGGGAATTACGATATGCATGGAATAAAATTAGAAATAATTAAGCATCAATCGAAGATTACGTTGGTCCAGGCTGCATCTGCAATCGTTGAAAAACGCTACAATCAGTGCAAAGTATAAAAAGTACGGTCATGGGTCTTTGCTCCTTTGTTGCCCTAGGACCTCCACACAACTCTATATTATATAAGTCTGATCAGAGTAAATAACTTCTGATTTGCTCCCTAACTACCAAAATCTGGATACATCTTAGTAATGAGCAACTCTTTAACTTTAATAATAAATAATAGCAATTGAATCCAAGAAACATTACTTTAGGCTGTATGATCATAGTTTTGTTTGCCTTCCCATGGGAGGATTACCAAAAAAATCATTTTAGAATAGAAAATCATTTAGCAGTTAGCAGTAGTCAAAGTTGCCACCTGTACGAGGTTCCTCGTACAAATACGAGATTTCTCTTCCGTGGGAGGTAGGTACGAGAATACTACATCCCAAAATTATACATCTCGTAATTATGTACGAGATTTTGTCAGATATATTTAGAATATGATTTCTCATTGTAGGCAATGTGTTAGAGCATAAATCTTAAGTATTTTCTTATTATATTTTAGGTGTTTGAATGTAAAGAAAATTCAAATAGAAAAACATTTTTAACAGTATATGGTTAGTTGACCCGTTGACCTTTATGTTAATATACGTTATATCATGATATTGGTATCGATTCTGGCGGGATTCTCTAAACTTAAAACTAAATTTAACATCAATCTCTCCTTTTCATTCCGTATAGAGAATGACAAGGATACACTGTTGTCAAATTTAAGTTTAGGTTTAGAGAATCGTGTCAGAATTGACACCATTATCGACAGTGTAATATCTCCGGTACACTTTATGATACTGTGATCAAAGCTTTAATATAATATTGAACAGTGTAAGATACCCCAATTTGATTTACTAATTGTAAAGGGGGGTGTGTAAACCGTGTACGAGGTTCGAAAGTCAGATTACGAAATTTTTAGCTGCATTTGTACGAGGAAAAAGTTCTACGGTGGCAACCTTCATATATGATGACATTTTTTGGCTAAAGGACTGAGTATCCAAAGCCAGAATGAAAAAAAGACATTTAGTCATTTACCTTTGACAGAGCTGCTTGCTTCGGGAACCAACTGGTGACAACTGACAGTGAAATCGAAAATTTTACAAAGTTTTAATCGCTAAAAATGGCGAAAAGGATTTCACAGAGCTCTATAAACTGGGTCGCATTAGCGGAGAGAGTACCAGCTGAACAGAAGGGAAACTTAGCTGCATTCAAAGTTCGTTCGGATGGATACCTACGAAGGTTATTTTCTTGTTCAATACCGCACGATTACATAATTTCTTAGGTAGATCCCTTAAGATTTTATATGTTTTTAGAGTGCTCGCTAACCCTCCGGAGCCGCCAAAGATCAACTGGTCCGTGTACAAGCAGAGCGTCCCGATCCCTGGCATGGTTGACAATTTTCAGAAACAATATGAAGCATTGAAGATCCCATTTCCCGCTGATACTCAGACTGCTTTGGTTGAAGCCCAATGGGTTGAAGTAAAGAAAGCTATCGAAGCCTTCGTTGTGGAATCGAATGGGCAGATTTCAAAGTATGTAATTTTATAATGAAATAATTCATTGTGAAGAGTAGTGATGATGTACTTACAGTTGAGGAGCGTCGGAACAAAAACCGATAAATCACATTTGTGTGTTTTTGCGGAAAACTGTAAAAATGTGGCCAAGTTCATGGTTTTTTAGAGTTAAATGAAATCTATTAAATTGTAGGTGTTGGTGTCACTCTTTGGAAAAATAAATTCTGCATTTGTGGCTATGGTACCTATTGAGTTATAAAAAAAAAGAAAATGGATATATCGGTTATTGACCAAACCAATTGGATTTATCGGTTTTTAATAAAACACAGTAGGATATAGCAGTATTTGATAAAACGCTGGTACGATATAAGAGATTGATATAATGAGGCCTGAACATGCGTCAGTGTTTCAAAAGCTAGATTAATCAAACAACTTTATTTAAAATCACATCATACTTTAATTGACTAAAATGTAAAGGATTTATCAGTATCTGTTCGGGTATTTTGAGGCCAGTTTTAGAGCGGATTTATCTATTTTCGGCCAGGTTACTTTAACTATTCAGCAAGATATGTACGAAAACAACCAATTGCCATCAAACAAAAAAATATGTCAAAATGTAATATATCGGTTTTTGTTCCAACGCTCCTCATTTACTTTATGTTACAACAAACAACAAAAAATTCATAACAGTACTGATTATAAAAAAATCATTTTTATAGCATATCATAGTAAAGCCATCAACAGTCAAAAAGTTAGCTGACTCTTGATCTCATTAACACTGACTCCTCTGTCTAAAACTTTATTTAGAATTTATGCTAAAAAATTAACAAACATCTTTTTTCCAGGTATGAAAACGAAATCAAGGCCACCAAGGCTCTGTTACCTTTCGACCAGATGACTATGGAAGACTACCGCGATGCCTTCCCTGAAGATGCTCTGGACCCCATCAACAAACCTACTTACTGGCCCCATGATGCTGAAGAACAGTTGGATTACGTCAACCCTGACCAGCAGCATGCATCTTCGCACTAAATTCTTTGAACTGGTCTTGCTTGGCAAAATGATAAACTTTCACCAATTGGTTGCAGTGGGTGCAATGTGTCAAGAATCAGATAATATAAATTATTGTTATAATAATGTAGGAGTAAAGTGTAATAATTAAAACATCAATATTGTTTTAATTTACCGTTCATAAATACATTCTTTATATCTCATATTATTATTAGTTACTAGCTGTTCCCCAAAAATTTTTCTACATTATCATCGTCGGTTGGTTTCGAGAGAAACAAAAACAAGGGAACTGCTCTTGTGAAACATTCTTATGGCTTACTTGATAGTAAACCACACCATCATAGCATAAGAAAGGCAAGTTGCCACCTGTAACCTCATCCATTAACTTATGCAGCCCTATAGAATAAAATGGGGCATTGGAATTTATTGAAATACAATTCATTTTTGAAGATCATGCAGAGAATTCCCATGTTTATCTCTGTAAAAACCATATCAACATAGGGCAGCAGGGCTTTCCAGTTGGGTATTGAATTGTAATCTAAGCAGCTCTTATTCATTGCTATTTGCAAATAGGCAGTACAGCTTAGAGTGCAATTTAGCTTCGAAACCAACAATTTCTGCCCATCTTGAAAACTGATCTTTGAAGCCTTCTTCAATGATAAGAAACAACACGAAGAAGTAATATATTTACTAAGTCAGGGTCTTATCTAGGGTTGCCAGATGCTGGCTAATCAATTCTGGGAATCGCTCTCCCCCACTCCAGAAATAAAATCAAAATGTAGGTCAGAACTTGCTTTTATACGGCTTCTATTTTGGCTTTATTCTTCTATGGCTATATTTTTAGAGTGCTCGATATAAAGGGCTAAGGAATGGTGGTAGTACTTCACAAGATGCAAGGTTGATCCCCTTATGTAATCTGCCACGCTTGAGTAATTCCCGAAATCTGCTTGGGCTCACCTACTACAAATCTTAAATAGAAACTACTGGAGGGTTTTTGAATAGAAACTGCTGGATGTGGGATGGAACCCTTGATAAAGGACTCAGTAGGCCTGTTCCCCGACAGCTTTTAACAAATGGAAGTGATAATCACAGAGTTGTTTATTGATCCACTGCTTTAATGTATGCCACTAAGATACATGTTATGAAAAGCATCGATGGATACGCATTCTCTATAGTTATACACTGTAAATGTCAAAAAGTTAGCCAACAGGCTACCAGGAATACTTCACAAGGTGCAAGGTTGCCCCTATATGTTAATCTGCCACACATTATTTTGTATTCATGTTGAGATATGAGAACATTAATCATCTTAACTAAGTTTCTTATACAAATAAAGGAAATAAAACATCTTGCTCTATTTATAATTTTTATTACACGAATTGCACATTAATACAATATACTGCTCTTTTTAAAATCATGTACAATAGGAATGTAACTTCTATTGGGACAAATAGTATGGAAGAAATAAAAGAAGAAAGTATGACAGAACATTTTGTATCGCAAAGGTTTTTTTCTCTGATTCCTAATTACATTTCAATTATTATACTAACCTAACAGATTTGATAATTCGCTTGAATCCATTAAAAGCGGTAAAACTTATCAAAATTCTCCCAGTAATTTAAAAGAAAAGAATTTATGAGAATAAAACATGAAAAAAAAAAATTGTCTTGATTTCTAAAACACTTTTTCGACAAACCATTAGAAAAGCAACCTTAATTTTACTAACAGTGAGAAAAATTATAGAGTACAAAGCATAACAGATATTTAAATGTAACTTAATAAAATATTTCTTTTACTATTTAATTCGAAAACTGTCACAAAAATAACTTGAGATGAACCGACAATAAAAATGATAAAAACTCACTTTTATCTGACAAGTAGAAAAGATTGTAAGAGCCCGTGAGAATTTAAAATACACGAGCACGGATATGTTAAGGATTTGTTCCGGTCTGCTTTCATTTGGGGGTGAATTTGTTGCCCGGTGGTGGTGGAGGCTGCGAGTACATATTGTAGTAGCTGCTCGGTGGAGGGACGTTGAAGTTCTGGGCTTGCTGCTGGTAGCCTGTGGATTGGCTCTTGAAACCACCACTGCCACCTGAGTTCTGATAACCTATGTGCAAAAGAAAATTAAAATGATATTTATTAAATTTCAACGGTATAGATGCACTGATTTATTCATTTATTGACGTTTCGCATCCTCTACATCTATACCGTTGAACATATGATATTTCATACAAGTCATTATTTATTACCCCCAGATGCTAATAATGAAAATAGTTTTCTAAAATTTTTATTGAGATTTCAACGAAGACCAGTCCGGACCGCGATTACAGTACTTTACTTTATATAAGCAAAATGTTGCGGGCTCCGTAGTTAAATAATAACGTCACTGGTTATTTAAAGTATTGAAGTATAATTTCTGACTGGGTTTTTCAATTAAAAATACAGGTACAGTATACCCGCGGTAATCGGGACTTCGTTTAATCCGGCGCCCCCTGTAATCCGACACGCTTATCACCGTCTTTCCCAGTGGGCACTTAGGGCAAGTGCCCAGGGCGCCGCGATCGATAGGGGCCCCTCTCAGATCAAATACAGTGTGGCGGCGACATCTATATGCCCCACATATATACAACGGATGGAGGAAATCATTACTTAAAATGAATACATCAAAATTCAAAAAAACTACAAAGCAGCTTTACTTCATAAACAACTTGCTGCGGAAAACCTGAAGCATCCTTATCATAGCCACTTGCCGCTCTTTTTTGTTTTGACTAAGGCCTAGCCAGTGACGCATGGAAGGTACGAGTAGGGCGAGTACATCTATAGCAAGTAGGAGAATACGTTTATACGTTTATGCACGAAACATGTTCCAATATTTATTATAATCAAATAATGGATAATTCGAGGCTCTATATACATATTATTAATTTTAAGTAAAATTTGTTAAGGGGTGGCTGAAAAACAGCGTTGGTTCAGGTCTAGGCTTGACCAGCATTGGCTGAGCCATTTCCTATTGTCTTATTTTTAACGAAATTTTATTATTTAAATATTTGTTAACATGTAAAAAAAGACAATAAATTATTATTATTATTATTACTCACCATCCTCAAGAGATGGCGTTACCTGCACTGGGATCATAATAGAATGGAAGCCTACATCGCGCAAATGAAATTCGGAAGCTAACTCTTCATATATACAATGCCCGACCAACATCAGTCGGGCCGCGGCCCCCGAGCTACCATCACCCAGCTCGGAGGAAGATCTTCCCCTTTGGCCTTCCTACAACAGAGTCCGTAGTTCCTGTTAAATCACCAAACGGAAGTCATAGGGGCCCCATTATCCTAATATGGCCAGAGCCTCCGGCAGGCAGGCGGGCAGGTCAAAGACGGCACTGCTTATCACTGTTGATTTACACATAAAATCAATTGAAATAGATTTTTAGATTTTTCATTTGTCGGATTACAAGGTACCCTTATACCAAAAACCGGACTATAGATGTTGCACTTAGACAGTACCTACTCTGTAATCCGACATCACCCTGCAAAACGTTTGTCGAATTACCGCGGGTCTACTGTTTATATATTAATCTATGAACAAAGAAATTAGTGGGGGATATATGTTGACTGGGAGCTCGATGGCGCAGGTGGTTAGCGCGTTCGGCTGCGATTGTTGTAGTTAAGCAACTTTCGCAGGGGTCGGTCATTGGATGGGTGACCAAAAAATTTCTATCTCGAGTTCCTCCGTGCTTCGGAAGGCACGTTAAGCCGTTGGTCCCGGCTGCATCTGCAGTCGTTAGCACCCGTCAATCCGTACCGGGCCCGCGTGGTGGGCCATGGCCCAATGTCCCTATTCCATCCATAGGGAAGGCCTGTGCCCCAGCAGTGGGGACATTAAGAGGCTGATGATGAATGATGATGATGATGATATGTTGAATGCAGAAAGTCACGAAACAGGAACTTATGATGTTTTCTCATTCACGTTATTAACTATTTATCAACAATTTTACGTGCGATGAATATTGTGCTGACGGCACATCATCATCATCATCATCAGCAGCCTATTAATGTCCCCACTGCTGGGGCGCAGGCCTTCCCTATGGATGGAATAGGGAGATTGGGCTATGACCCACCACGCGGGCCCAGTTCGGATTGGCGGGTGCTGACGGCACACAAAACAAAATTTGACATACCCGAGTTCTGATATCCTCCCGATCCCTGGTTGCCGCCATACCCCCCCCCCTGCCCGTAGCCCGCTCCCCCCCTGCCCCGGCCCCCGCTGCCCGCGCCGCCCCTCCCTCCCCTGCCACGGAACCCGTTGTCCTGACGGAAGTTGCTGGAAGAGTTCTCGCGGCTGAACCCTGATCCGCCGCCGCCGCCATCTTTGTTGCCGAAGCTTTGTCGGCCGTTGAACCCGGACCCGGAGTCGGAATTGTCCCAGCGAGAACCTGGTGGGGGGATTCCATATTATCTATATTATTGAAGTTATACTTCTTTAGGCGCGTTATGAAAAAATGATGAGAGTGAAATTTTAAGATGCGCGCGCATCACTGTAACACAAAATTTTAACATAATGAAGTTGGTCCAACTTCATGCGTTACTTTTGTGTTTACCACACATTAAGAAAATCTACCAACAAAATAGAAATAGAATCTCTATTTAGTGGGTGCTAACGACTGCATTGTGAAGGCCTATCAAAAGTATTTATAAATCTGGAACAACGGAACCAAAGCGCGATTCAGGAGACTACAGCGCCATCTCTTGACCATTAGTGTAGTAGAACCAAAAACCACATCTTTATTTTTTGTAATAAAATAACAGTTATAGGTATTCATATTTATAATATTTATCCACATGTTTCTAGTTTGTATATTCGGAATACGTGTTTGAGTTTCATACAAGTGCAAAACACTTACGTTGTAATAAATTATATTCAGTAGCGATTTTAATTGAATATTTTGATTATTTATTTATTTTTTCAAATTAAAACTGAACTTTATTGACTTCGTCCTTTTCCAGACTTTTTATTAATTTATTGTAATTAATTATTTGCATGCAATTAAAAACTAATTTTAAACGATGCCAAAGAAGGATAACTTCTCACGCGCCTACATAAGTACACGCACCCATTTTTTATCTTATTGTTTTAAGTACTGAAATATCCACCACCAATATAACTCACTCATAAATATATGCCCACACTTGTTAGGGGTCCATTTTTTGAGTTCTTTTTCGGCTGATTAAATTATTGCTCAATCATAAACACACATTTTTGCTATACACCGTTGAAAGTTATATCTCAACAAATGCAAAATTCTCCTTTCTTTGATTTAAATATTTAATTGGACTGTTACATTTGTCACTGAAAGTATCGATACACATTTATAAATCTTAAGAATGTTTTTGTACTAGAAAAAAGAAACAGTCAATCCCGTCTGTATCTGGCTGATAGATTAATAAATTCGATATTAATCATAGACCTAGACAATTTCCTGTAGAACTGTCAAATAAAACAGTGCAGGGAGAGTGAGAGACGAATCAAACATCTATTTTGTCAGAGTCAGAGATACTCCATTAATCTTGGTTTGGTCGGAAAAAAGGAATATTTTTCCAATGATGCTCTGTCCAATCTTGACACTTCCTTGCTAGCGTTCTAGAGAGTCGAGCTCTATGGTATGGTGTCAACATGAGTGCTTTTCTTGTTGCTCGCTCAAACAAATGTGCCTCTACTAACAGTTTCGAACGGTACGCGCAGGATTATTCTCATCAAAAACTGCATTTTTAATTTCGTTTGAACCTTTAAACGGGTCCTGCTTAGCTAGGCCAATTATTCTAAAATCGTCTCGAGATTAAATCTAAGTAATTTTTACTATAAAATGTAGTTAGTTGTGGAAGAGTGGATTCTTCCATAGTATTATTTTTCTATGAGATTCAAATACGAATAGGAGAGCCAATGACCTCCACCTGTCAAATGTCGCTTAAAAATACGGTTTGCAAAAATGACTTGGAATACTTTTCTTAGAATTAATACCAAACATTTGTACAGAAAATAAGGAAATCAATCATATGTAACGTATAGAAAATGAGTACTGGAAAAGGGAAGAATGAGAACCTGCGTTTTATTATAAATACAAAAAAAGACCGTTTTTATCCTTACTAATATTATAAAGGCGAAAGTTTGTTTGGATGGATGTATGGATGGATGTTTGTTCCTCTTTCACGCAAAAACTACTAAACGGATTTTAATGAAACTTTACAGTAATGTAGCTTATAGATCAGAATAACACATAGGCTATAATTTATAAAGATATTGTGTGAATTGTCCAAAATATAACGATAAATGTCATTTAAGTCTGAAAAAATTCTGCAATCTGCGAGCTATTCAGGCGTGTAAGGATAAAATTGTCTAAAAAATATCCCGCAACAGCATATGTCTATCTTTTATGGTTGACTCACAATAACACGTGTAATTATATAAATAAAGTCATTCTTTATAGCACAAGCCTGAGAACAAAAAGTATAGTTTACACTACAGCTCTACACCGAAGCGAAGCGAGGGCGGGCCACTAGTTTTAAATAAAGATGTTATAGGTGGCATACGAGCAGACGGCTCACCTGATGGTAAGTGATCACCGTCGCCCATGGACACTTGCAACACCAGGAGTATCACAAATGCGATGCCTGCCTTTAAGGAAGGAGTACGCTCTTTTTTTGAAGGTTTTTGGGTCGTATCGGTCCGGAAACACTGCTGGCGACAATATATTCCACAGTTTTGTCGTACGTGGTAAAAAAATTCGACAAAAACGCACGGTTGTGGATAGCCACGCATCAAGATGATGGGGATGAAATTTTTGTCGCGATGTACGATGGCGAAATGGAGCAGCTGGAATTAATCCGAACAATTCCTCAGAACACTATACTTCGATACTTCTATCGCATTTATCACGGGGAGTGCATGCAGAGCGATGCTACATCCCTACGCAAAGCCAAAGGATCAAACTGATTGGAAAGGTCCTGGTCGTCGACGATTCGAGCCGCTCGGCGCTGGATGCGATCCAAAGGGAGAAGCTGGTACTGGGGTGCCCCCGCCCAAAGATGAGAGCAGCACAGTAAGTTGTCATTTTGAAACCTACAATAATCTATATTTTATTTTATAGCCAAAGCCTCGGACACCGCCCCCGCGACCGTCGCTATATATATATATATATATATATGTACTCACCTCCTCCCCGCTCCCCGAATCTGGACCCCCCGCGGCCTCCCCGGCCTCCCCCGCGACCACCGCCGCGACCGCGACCATCGCTCTCGTCGCGATCACGGAAACGACCACGACCTAAACGAAACGAATACAATTAAATTGACTGAACATCTGTAAGAAAACCACATTTAAGGCAAATAAAAATATTCAATTTTAATCTAAAAAGACAATAAGTAAAAATTTCAAGAAGCCTTCGGCTGCCATTGTTGAAATCGATCCAGGCTGCATTTGCAGTCCCTTCGTGTGGTCTAGAAGCTCCAGACGGAGAGAATACCTCTAGAGGCACTCTCCAATTCTCGGCTTGAGGTCCCCTTAGGATCTCGCCGTCCCCAAACCCGGTGACGCTGTAAAGGTCATCTGAGACCAACACCATACATGTATTCTTCTTACCCTCTACTTTTTAACTTATGCCTATGTTGTAAAAAAGTACAATAATAGTCATAATAGGCTGATATAGTCCTCCAGCGACTACAGCCTTCAGATTTTTTAAAATGTACAAATTTTGGATGTTATGAAAATGAAACTTTTATTATATCGCTACATTTTTTCTCGTTCATCTTTAGCATGTTGCAAAAAAATCTCCCAACTCTATCAACAAGCATCGGTGATTTAATTGTAGAAAGCTCGCCTACTACGCGGGTGGCCTGAGTTCGAATCTCAGTCACGGAAGAACTTTTTTTTAAAAATGATTTTAAGTTTCACTGACATTGCGGTTTCATAAATCCACACCAATTTTTACTTCATCATCAACAGCATATTGATGTACCCACTGCTGGAGCACAAGCTTATCCTACAGATGGAATAGAGATTGGGCCATAACTCACCACGAGTGCCCAGTGCGGATTGGTGGGTGCTAACGACTGCAGATGCAGCCGGGACCAACGGCTTAACGTGCCTTCCGAAGCACGGAGGAACTCGAAAAAGAAGATTTTCGGTTACCCATCCAGTGACCGACCACTGCGAAAGTTGTTAACTTCAACGATCGCAGCCGAACGCGCTAACCACCTGCGGCATCGAGCTCATCTGATTGAATTTGACTCATCAGAATTGATACAATAACATTTATGTTCTAATATAGAAAATCATTAACAAGAATAAGTAAATAAATTACTATGTTAATTTTATATAAATCTTACCATATTTTCCTTTGAATCCCATTCCACATTGAGCTAGCTCCAACAATTTGGGATTAACTACTTGATTCGCTTCCTGCAGTACTGACATCAAGTCCTTTGCCTGCATCACAAATAATCAATTTATAAATTCATCACACCTGTACATAATCTATATTCCTTTCAAATGTCACATAAACAATTCTTCTAAATGGGGCCTAATTCTGGCATGATTATCAAAACTTAAAACTAAATTTGACAACACTCCTTTTTACCCGGCTGCGCAATGCAAGAGCGCGAAGCGCGACGCGCAGACAGGGTTATTATTCTGTATGGAACCTGACAAGGATACACTGTTCTCAAAATTTATTTTAGGGTTAAAATCATGTCAGTATTTGTGACATGTTGTTTTGATGGTGACGATTTTGGCATGATTCTCTTAAATGAAAATTAAATTTAACACCAGTCTCTGCTTTTCAATCTGTATAGAAAACAACAAGAATACACTGTTGTTAAATTTATGTTTAGGTTTAGATAATCAGATAATCAGAACCAGAATTGACACTATTATGGATTTATTTAAAGTAAAAACTTACCTTGGCCGAGTTGTTAGGTGTGAACAGCGTATAAGCCGTGCCAGTGTTTTGAGACCGACCGGTGCGCCCGATACGATGCACATAGTCCTCAGAATTATTTGGATAGTCATAATTTATCACAAATTTCACATCTTCCACGTCTGAAGGAATCAATGTCAACATTAAATTAAATTGTTACAAAAAACATATTAAAAACATTGTAAATAAACAATATATTACATAATTGTTAAGTATAATAAGCCAGAAAATAACAAACAAATTAGTTTAATTTGAGACAACAAATGTTAGGTGAATAAGCACGCACAATGGACCAGCTATGGAGACTACATGCGGGCGGAAACGGAGACCCACAACAAGTAACAAGTTAGGCGAATAAATTAGGGCCAAAGTATGTCCTTGTGAAACCCCAATAATAAAATAATACTACTAAAGTTGCAACTATTTTATATATAAATCTAATATCAGAAGAATCTTAGACTGTAGTCAGATAAGAAAGCCAAAAATTGCTAAGAAACTTCGTGTAGTTATCAAGATTGAATTTATCAAATGCTTTATCAAATTCTGCACTAACATTTGTCGCCTCAAAGAGTCGAAAGTATAATTACCTTAATAGACGGCCGCCCCGCTTCGGTGAATCGGCTGGAAATAACTGTATTATGCCCGTCAGTGGTCCCGGAGTGTTGTAGGCCAAGAGTTGGACGGTGTGCTGACAATAACCTTCCTTGAAGGAGGGAACCTTCGTACGGACCAGTGATACGCTAACGAGTCAGGTGGCGTAGGGCAGGGCCTTTTCGGTAAATCTCTCATGACATTAAACCAAGCATGTATTGCTCATTTGTACTTCATGGTCTTACCCCATTTTCTCATTAAAGAATAATCTATAATACTATCACTTGACTCGAGAGTTAAGTTGTGAATGTTAAGACTACCCCCTGATATTTTAATTCTACCAACTAATTCACAGTGTATCGAATTTTGTTATTTTTCCAACAGAAAACCCAGTAAAAATTGTATTTATAGAGGCAGCATGCTCATTCAAACAGTGTGCGCTGACAGTTTACGTAATGCTGTCATTAATGATTCCGTTGCTATCGCAAATAGCAATAATTAATCGTGAAGTCAGCAACACACGGCTAGGCTAGCCCTTATCTCTGCACGCATGCGCCTCTGAAATGAAAGAACATTAGAGAATAATGCCAAGTCAGTCATGGAAATTTATATTTATTATCGGGCTATGATTTGATATATATCTTAGGATGAATGTAGATTGCCAGGTAACCAGATTCAGGTATTTCAGTTAGGTTCATTTACAATGTACAAGGTGATCAGTCTCAAGGTTTTTGTTGATCCATTTGTAATGCAATGCTGTCCAAACCTCTATGGAATCAACATAATCACCAAGTAATGTAATACGAAAACCTTGTAAAATTGTTTTTTCATCATAAGATTCTTTAGCATCGTGGCCCGAAAATAGTTTCAAGTGGTAACCGTAACCATTGCTGTTTCATTTTTCATTAATTAGGTGGCCTATGTTCCAATATTCACATTCATCTTCATGTCAAAAACATAATATTTAAGAAATTGCTCATTCTTGTCACGTATCTATACATAAAGAAACATTTTTTCAGGACTCGAACCCAAGGATATCTAAAGAAAAGTTTTTAATAGAAAAAAATCCACGCGGACCAGGCAGCAGACGGGACTCGAACCAGCACCCTTCGCTATCCGGGCGAATGCACTGACCAATTATGCTACCGCAGCCCTGACGGCCGCGTCAAAATTTTCCTATCCTTAAGCTGCAAGGCAGCGCCATCTCTTCGCATTGTAGGTAAACCACAGTACCAAGGATAGTTAATATAAATAAGCTCTTATAACAGGTACACAAAATATTTCATCTATGTATATTGCAACCAAATTAATTGGTTAACCCGTATTTTTTGTGAACTTTATTTACGTCAAATTAATACTTCTATTGCCAAACAGCTTTAAATGCCTCACAGACAGACTTGGCCTGCGGCGGCGGCCGGGGTGGCGGTCAGTTGTATTCGCTTGCAATGTAAGCGAGTGTTCAAATACGATCGACCGATAAGGGCTGGCCTCTATCTGTGAGACCGTTTATGACCCAGATGACACAATTACATCTGCAAATTGCATTTCTTATTGAGTTGGTGAATACTGGAACCACATTTTTCTCAAGGTTGCTAAACATTAGCACTTTCAGAAACATTGATTGTTAGCAATGGCATCAAATACCTCCCTCTACGCTCCTGACATACCTCTTAGACCTTTAAAACACCCCGGTAGAACAGTGCGAGATGATTTAGATTCATTTCTGGCTCTATGATAAAAAGACCTCGCAACTGTATCAACAAATAATCTTCTGTTTGATGCCTTTGACATTATTTACTACAAATTTGGCGGGAGACACATCACCACCTTTTGCTTCATAAATCAAATATTCATAAAAATTGTTTCGTTTATATTTTTTGTTATTCTATCATTATCATTGTTACTAAAGTACTGGTGGCACAAACATAAGATAAACAACTTCTGGGCAATTTACAGTGAGAAAGTCTACAAAATCATCATGTGTTGATATTCACATAATGTTTCTTTTTTATAGTGCTTTTAATATAAACTTTATATCACCAATTTCATACATCTTACTGGCTTGTGTATATTTTTATGTTTTCCTTTGTTCTTAGTGTTTTTTGACTTACCTAATCCTCTAGCGGCGACATCTGTGGCGACCAGAATCCCGCCACTGGATTGGCGGAACTGATTGAGTACGTAGTCGCGGTCGAGTTGATTCTTATCACCGTGAATGGCGAGAGCTCGCCAGCCCGCGCGATTAATAGCTTTTGTTATATCATCCACCTAACATAATAGTTTCATCTTTACACTACACTTAAATTGATAAAATAATTTTCCAGTAGTCTTCTTTCTTATCAAGATAGGAGCATAAATAGAGCTGCTATGTTTTTACAATGAATCATTGATTTTAACTTCCAATTTCATAAGATAACATTGTCTTATGTTTAATATTAACATTGTATGTCAGTACTATAACACAACCTACCTTTCTCTTAGTTTCAGCAAAAATTATTGTTTTAGTTTCCTCCTCAGATGAAATTTCAGTTAGCAGAGTAATGAGTTTATCATTCTTCTCCCATTCCTCACAAACATCGACTATCTGTAGGATATTGTGATTGGCTGAAAGCGACAGTGAGCCAATGTTGATCTGGATGTAATCATGTAGGAACTCCTCAGCAAGATTCTGGACTTCTTTCGGCCAAGTAGCGGACCACATAAGTACCTTGAAATATTCAGATTTTTTGTCATACAAAGTCAATGGAAACTGAAAATTCTAAATAAATAACTCAGGGACTCACCTGCCTGTCTGGCCTTATTTGTTCAATAATCTTTCGGATCTGAGGCTCAAAGCCCATGTCCAACATTCTGTCTGCTTCATCTAGCACCAAATATGTGCATCTCTTGAGATTTGTTGTATCTTGAAATAAAGATATGGTTAAAATCATAACCATGAAAAATCCACAATATTATTATACCACTAAAGTATAGTACCTATAATTTACTGATAAATTGAAAAATAACATTTTGGCATGATGAATTATATATTTATTTTTATTTCAGTTTTGAATACATCAAGATCAAGAATGTACTGTTTTAGATCAGATAATAATCAATTACTAATCTAGACACATAGCTCACAAATACATTCTTTTCTATATGAACAAAAAAAAATATTTTTTTCTTGAACTTGGACCTAACCAAAAATTTATTTACCTTTTTCTAAAAAGTCTATCAGTCTTCCCGGTGTAGCAATCACTATCTCCACACCCCTCTCCAGACAGCGCCCCTGAGGCCCCTTTGGAGCCCCACCGAACACACATGTATTCCTTACTTGGACACTTTGGCCGAAATCATTGGCCACCTGCAATAAAATCATACATTGTACCAATATTGTATTTGTACACAAACAGTTAACAGAACATTGATAAAACATTCATCAGGAGACTGGATTTAATGCATAGTAAAATGTTCTAATGATTTAATTACGTTTCTGAATATGTGTTATACTTTATATGACAATTGCTACAATACATACATAATATAAGACAGAAATACAGTAAACCTCTTTTAACTTTGCTTAATTTACCTTACCACCCAAATTCAAATAAAACTAGTGAAAGGATAACAGCCTTATTGTGAATGTTTATAGAAAATTTTAAAAATATATATTCAGCATTTCTAGATATTAAAGTTGCATAAAATCCATTCTTGACTCATCAAAAAAGCAAATATTGCATTAAAAATGAAGATTTTAAATGAATTTGCTCATAATGAATGTAAAAAAATATATATAATTATGTTGAACATAAGTGGCAAAGTGTGAATTACATAACTCATCATCTAACTTTGTGGTTTTGAAATTTAAGACAACATTCAGAAGGAACTCTTCTTTTAGTTGATATATTCATGTGGCAAAAAAATTACTGAGCCACAAACTGAAATGAAGAGTACAATTACTACAGTGACACCCTGAGCATTTAAATAATTTCTTATTTTTACTTTATCATAGCTTAAGTAATAATAACAGTTTGGCAATATCATTCTCACTAAAAATAATTAAAATAAGTCAGGGCATCATTTTACAGACAAGTAATTGCTAAATAAGTAGAAAGATATCATAAATATTACTGAATAGATGTGTATGTATGACAGGAAAAATCATATGTGAGGAAAAAAAACTATAAAGAACCAAATCAAATGCAAAGTGCTACAAATAAAATGAAAAATATCAAGGTTACGTTCAGAAACCTCACCTAACCATAAACATAATTTAGAATTTTGTTAATCAAACATTTCTTTTACTAAAACCATCCCAAAACATTTAGGTTTTCGAACATAGCCTGCCCATTTCAAAGCTATTTTCTACAAATTAATATTGAATCAAGTTACTATATCCAAGTTGTTTGGATCACTGTCCATGACCTCCGCAGCAATCCCGTTCATCGAAATCAATGTCTGTTGGTGCACAATGAAAAGTTTGTCTTACTTTATGAGATACAATAATAAAAATATTTTTTTATTAAGACTCAAATGGCAGGCCTAATTCTCATAAAAATAAAAAGATCTTCAAATGGAATGATTGCACTGTAAGCTTACCTGCTGTATCTGTTGAGCCAACTCTCTAGTTGGTGCCAACACAAGTACAATTGGACCTTCATCCCTCAGTAATCTAGGTTGATTTATTATGTGCACAATAGCGGGCAAAATGTATGCCAATGTTTTCCCCGAGCCTGTTTGTGCAATTCCCACCATGTCACGTCCAGAGAGAGCAATCGGCCAACCCTGAGCTTGAATAGGAGTGGGGTGTGGGAACCCTTGTTTCAGAATCTCTTTCATAGCATAATCAGGAAAACCACCTTCTTCAAAGTACATACTAGGGGCAGGAACCTCCCTGCCGCGCACTGTAATCTGATTTTGGCTCCTGTATGCTTCTATTTCGGCCGGTGTGCGTCTCTGTACGTTCGGATGGGGCACATAGAAGTTCTTCTGGAATGGCGTAAGCTGTACATTGTCCCAACGGATTTTCCTAAGGCCACTGCCCGGTTGATCGTTTTTGAAGTTGCTACGAAAGTCGTCGCGTCCGCGGCCGCTGAAGCCGCGCCCGCCGCCGTCGCGGCCATCGCGTCCCCCGTCTCTACCGCCGCGCCCTCCGCGACCGCCGCCGCGGCTGCGATCGGCAGATCTGTCATCAGAACGACCGCCGCGGAAACTACCTCCGCCGCCACGACCTCCGCCCCTGCCTCGGCCTCCACCGCGTCCTCCACCGCCGCGACCACCTCGTCTATCATCGTACCTGAATCAACAATCACATTTTCGCTTTTGTTACACCCACGAAAAATACCTACGAGGTGAAGCTAATCGCTTCCCTATTGTATTATACAGTTACTTACATTTTTCACGGGTCCTTTTGAAATTTCAATGTCACTAATCACTTAATAATTAAATTAGCTACTTAAATAACACTACTTTAATCACTGTTGTTGCTTATTTAAATTTTTTTACAGGCGTCGCTGGCAAATAATCGTCTCACAGCCGAAAGCCAGCGGGCGCCATATTAGATTTTTTTGACAGAGCATACAAACAAAATCCATTTCCATCAATTTCTATGAACTGAAACGTCATCGGGGCACTCATTTTTAGTTTGCAATTGATGTTTTGTAAAAGATTTGTTGAACATATTTTTTTAATTTTCACAGTAAATTATTATTAATTAAGATTAATTATAGTTTAATTAGGTCACTAGCAAAACTAAAAAAGTCACTCAGAATGTGGCTGTACGTTATACACTTCAAACGCACGTCTTTGTAACGAAAAGAAAAATTGTTTCCGTTTCCGGTGCGTCATCATTTACAACGCAGCGCGAATTTTAAATTTATTTTTCTAAAACTTCATAGTCTACATTGAGCTTACAACAAACTAATATCTATTCTAAAACGAATATTTTATTTTTTTGTCAAATACCTAAAGCATAATTAAATAAAACCTAAACTACCTTCAACCTTTGAGTAGATATTTTAAATAGGTCAGCAAGTGATTTCAGTGTTATTGATCAAACATGATATAAGTAGGTGCTTTGATTTCGAAGCCTTTTCGTTTGGTGTCGTTAAAGTTGGATTTAACAATGGATGCATCCATCCCTCTATTCGAAAAACCACATCCGCGTATGTCGGTCCTAGATTGGACTAGAAACATTCAAAGATTACAGAACGAAGCGAGACTGAGAAGATTCGAATCATATGAGTTACGGCAGAGGGGCAATCAGTTGAGGAATGAATCTGGTGTCACTACACGATGGGACAATTACGTAAACAACGAACTGCTACGAGACAGGTTTGTATATGTGTTTAATTCAATTTAGTTGCGTTATACCAAAATTTTAGAGGTAGTACGCTACATATATACAGTGTGTAAAAAAACCTATGACAAAGACTTAAACTACGCATTCTGCGTACACACAACAGTCATATAACAAAATATTATAGGTGGGAAAATTTTGTACATATTTTTAAGTTAAAAAGATACATTTTTTTATGTGTATGAGTGTGCGTGTGTGTAAGTGCGTCGATAAAAAAGTTTATAAATAACGTTTTGAAAATATTAATCTATAATATAAATCTTGAAAAAAATCTTTTGGCTTTGACCTTCAATATCTCCATAACCATAAATTTCCGAGGTATTTATTTATACAGAAGAAAAAAATGATCGTCATGTGGAAAATACATGGCCTTCGACTTCGTTGTATAATATTTTTTTTTTTTCGTCGTCTACCCCATTGTATCGTTGAATATGTACTTTAAAATAACTTAAGGGTTTCATATACTATTTTTCAATTTAGGGATCCCTTTGCGAAATATTGCACTTTCCGGCAATAATTGCGGATATTTTTGTTCGAGTAGAGCGGGCTTGGTACATGAGTACATATTTAGGCGATATTTTAAATGTGTATCTATCTAATCAATGCCTTGATTATTCTACTCGCGGCGCCCTGATTAGCTTTCGCACCCCGGCGTCGAAGATGCTAGACGGCTTTGAGTAGTGAAAACTTCTTTCAGAATCTTCGAAGTGGAATCATGGCGCGAGAAGCAGAGGTACACGAGGGAGTGCGTCAGAGACGAGATCAGGGCGCTCAAGGAGGAGAAAAATGCCACAGAACTCCACCTGGAATCATTGCAAGTGCCGCTCATGGTGTCCCTGCAGTGTTTATCCAATAGGGACCAGAGGGTGCCGCCTGAGCTGACCAGAGACCAACTAGGAGAAGAGCTCAATAAGGTACGCTTATTGGTGAGACACAGAATATAGAAAGAGGTAAGAAGGGTGATTATAGACTGTTTGTACGGGCACCGATGACGACGGTTCCACCTAATAGAAGAAGCCAATCAAACGACGCGACATCAAACGATAGAACCAATCAGCGCTCACAGCCGAGAGCAACGACGCAATGAGAACCAAGTTTTGGTCAAGTTATGAGCTTTGCCGAGCTCACACATAACTAGGGTTGCCACCCGTACTTTATTATAAAGTATTGTACGTTATTCCGGGTAATTGTACTCTATACTTTATGCCAACAATAAAGTACGCGAAATACTTTATTTGATGTGATTTGATTACTTGGGGATTATTTTTTCATAAATATACAAAAAGAGGTGAATACTTAGAAAGAATTTTTGCGTAAAACGGAACAACAGTAGGTATTTATAATATGTCGCCCTTAGCTCATTCCTGCAACATTGTCGCGGCTTTATGGCTTTAAACAGTGGTCTTTCCCATTGCGGATAAGAACTACAGATTTTTAGAAGCCCCGAATTATTTATTCAAAGTTGCTAGAAGCAACGCAAAATAGATTTTTAAGCTTACCAATAAAGTGGAATAATGAATGCTTTATTTTGGACACAAATGTACTTTTTTATCTACCTTTAATATCCAAATATAGGCGTGGACCATCCTAGGCCTCATCATCGCTTTCCATCAGGTGAGATTGTGGTCAAACGCATTGCCTATTATGCATAAAAAAAATTGGACATAATAAAGGTGGCTTTATTATGTCAATGCGTTTGACCACAATCTCACCTGATGGAAAGCGACGAACCCTACACATAATTGTGGCGCGCCTGCCCCGCCCACAAATTAACCTCTTTCTGTGTTCTGTTGGTGAGAAGTACTTGTCGATGTTATAATTGATTATCGATGTATTTGTGAGCTTTGTCGAGTCGTGTCCTACCTAATCAACTTTAAGGCCCAAATTATACAAAGATTCTCAGTAATGAATATCTAGTCTTGAACATAGATAGAAAGGGATGTCGCTATATATAGCTCATAGCGACATCCCTTTCTAACTGTAGTCAAGTAAAGATAAACACTTAGTTTTCATTCTGTAATACGGGCCTAAGTTGTAGTAGGCGTGCTGCCGGTCGGAGGCGGGGTGGTTTGACGTATGTCGCGTGAGTGCACGTCAAATTCATTTTTTCTCCCTGTCATCGAAAAAAAATTGTAGTTGTTTTTAAGAGTAGGATGGACGACGATCAGTTGTAAAGAAAATCATCGTCAACTATTGAATACAGGCACGTTCTGAGGGATTATCGAACGAATTTTTGACAGCTCCGTAAACGTATCGCACCGTCAAATGTGTCTATGAAAACTAAGCAGTACCCCTAGCACGAACCATTATCGAATTCGAATAGTTTGCAAACCGAAATGGCAATGTCAAATTTTGTATGGAAACTTGTACAGCAGCGGCACAAAGTACGTAACGAGAACTAAAACTCAGTACACATTTGACAATGACATTTCGGACTCGCAAACGATACTAATTCGATATTGGTTCGTGATGGGGTACTGCACCCTTATCAAACAAACTCAGAACAAACAAGCTATTTCCATAAAAAAAATAGATGATTTAAAAGTGGTAGTCGGTTTCTAGCAGAGTCAAAACATTATAATTATAAAGCGTCTTTTTATATTATAAAATGGACAGATACTTTTATTTTTTATTTACCTCCGATAACTTTTGAATCGTTTTGAAAAACCTAGCAGCAGACCGCGACTTCGTCCGCATTAACTTTTAGTATTTTTTTTCTAAAATAAAAGTATTTAAGTTACTCCTTATTACATCAGCTACCTGCCAATAAAAAGTCCAGTTAAAATCGCTCCAGCCATTTCAGAGATTAGACGGAACAAACAGACAGACAAAAATTGAAAAAAATGTTATTTTGGTGTATATAAAAAGCGGTTATTTCAATATAACAAATAGACACTCCAATTTTATTTATATGTATGTATGTATAAATGTATAGATATATGTATAGATTTAAAAAATCGTAAGGATCGGATGCTGCCAATCTTTCATAATAGGGATCAACTAATTTTTTTTCTTCGTTTATCAGGTATATTATCAAAAAGTATTGGACACGTATTTTTTCTTTTTTTACATAATGTAAACATTGCAGAGATATATTGATTTGAAAAGTCGCATGACGTCACGTTTTCGTACAATTTTCACATAAGTGACGTCACGAGCCCCTACTCCCAAACTTTGACGCGCTATAACTTTGTCATTAATTTTTGGTTGATTGCCCGAAGAAAAAATACGTGTCCATTATTTTTTGATCATCTAACAGACGGACTAAATAGAATTTCGTTTACTGTACCCCGTTATCACCCCTATTAACGTTAAGGTAAACTTTCTTTATAACATTAGTGGGATTTGTGTTGTCATTTTGTTCCTCACGTCTATCTGACACTCCAGGAGCTCCATATAATAGAGAACAGCAAGCGCGTGCTAACAGACGCGTGCCACATGGGGTGGGAGAAGTTGAAGGAACTCACCAACGTGCTTTGCCGTCTCGAGCGGGAAGTTCAGAATAAAGATGAAGCGCTGATGCTGGAGTACCACGTGAAGGAGCTAACTAGAGACAGCGCTAATATATCCCACAAGCTCGACCCGACCAGAGTACCCACAGAGTAAGTATAAAGGTCGTGTATTATTTGTACTCTTCTTTGTCTAGCAACACCAACGCTTCTTGAAGAAAGTCGTAGAATCCAGAGCCGTAAAACTTATTAATAAAAAAAAATGATTAAGGACGACGGGGGTTTTTGGCGGTATTTCATCGAGTGCGGTTGGCGTCTTATTTTAATTATTCTTAAATTTGTTCATTCTGAAATAAAATTCTTATGATTTTGTGTAACAACAGTCCGCGCAACTGAAGAATTAGTAGAATCTTTAAATTATACCATATACGCTATGCCGGTCATGTGGACGTGAGAAATTTATTGTAATGTTGACTATCTCACAGAAGCTTATCGAAAAAGCCAACTCGATAAATTTCGGGCTAAACACTCCAAGAAACATTAGAATGCGTCACACCGACATTGTAATGTAAAAAAAAAAGATGAGTAACATTTGTATTTCTGTATACTACTGAAGTACTTGTTTTCACGGTCATGAATAAATAAAATAAAAAAAAATAAAAAATTGAAGAAGGTCGTGTACATGTCTCCGGTAAAAATTGGCTGTTAACAATTAGAATATACTAAGTATGTTAACTTCCTTGAAACTGAAGGAGTTCACCATGTCTTAGAGCTAACTAGTCAGAGCGTGCCTAGGGTTACCATCCGTCCGGATTTATCCGGACATGTCCGGACTTTTTGCCTTTTGTTCGGCTTTTTAATTTGTCCGGATTTTTTTAATTAGATGGGATATGAGTAAATATATATTATCTTAAAAAATCAACAACGAGACCCCCCTCGCTATGCGAGCGTCTGCTACCACGCGTATAATAACACTGTAACTAAGAGGGTGATGTTTGCATATTGTGACTAAAATGTCCAGCTTTTTGTCAGGACTTTTCAATTTTTTTAATAGTAACCCTAAGCGTGCCTACATATTCTACAAGCATAAGGCGATTGGAGTACCCGCAGAGTGAGTTTTAAAGCCTTTGACGATGATGATGGGCCTTGTTGACGCCCATCGATTTATCAAACACCGGCTGGTGTTATATAGTCGTCTTTGTCTAGTGACGCATCTATGAGAAAGAGGATTACATCTCTGAAAGAGCTCACCAACATGCTCTGCCGCCTCGAGTGGCGGGTTCAGACCAAGGATGAAGCGCTGTTGTTGGACCATGTTGTACCATGTGAAAGAGATCACTATAAGCGCCAACTTAACAAATAAGATAACCCGACTAAAGTGCTTTCAGAGTGCTTGACTTTATCTGCATATCTGCAATACCAATGCATCTATAAGAAAGACAAGTTATTCGCGCACTAGCCCGGTGTCTAAGCCGTAATAACTACCTTAAAAACTGAAGTCACCGTTTCTATACATATAATGGTGTCGATTCTGGCACGATTCTCGAAATCTAAACTTAAATTTGACAACAGTGTACCTTGTCATTCTCTATACAGAATGAAAAGGACAGACTGATGTTAAATTTAGTTTTAAGTTTAGAGAATCACGCTAGAATCAACACTATTGCCTCTATTACATTTGATCGTTAGCCCGTGCAAGGGTGTACGAAAGGCATTACTCAATTCAGCACCCGAAGCAATAGTTACACAAAAACTACCCGAATACGGGCGTACTCGACTCCGTTCATTTACACTTACTCGTTTACCCGAATTCCATTTGCACTCGTATACGACCAAATGTAATCGCGCCTTAAGAGTTAACAAATACAACGCGTGCTGGTACCTAACACATTAGGGGGTTAATGACGAAGCGCTTTTTTATATTCATCATCATCATCAGCCTATTAACGTCCCCACTGCTGGGGCACAGGCCTTCCCTATGGATGGAATAGGGAGATTGGGACATGACCCACCACGCGGGCCCAGTGCGGATTGGTGGGTGCTAACGTCTGCAGATGCAGCCGGGACCAACGGCTTAGCGTGCCTTCCGAAGCACGGAGGAGCTCGAGATATTAATTTTGGTCACCCATCCAATGACCGACCACTGCGCAAGTTGTTTAAGTTCAACGATCACTAGCGCCATCGAGTTCCTTTTTCTCCTCCATTTTTTATATTGTGTGGTCAATAAATGCCTTTTTAGGGTCCGTACCGTACCCAAAGGGTAAAAACGGGTCCCTATTACTAAGACTCCGCTATCCGTCTGTCAGTCACCAGGCTGTATCTCAGGAACCGTGAAAGATAGGCAGTTTAAATTGTCACATATATTTCTGTTACCGCTATAGCAACAAATACCAAAAATTAGAATAAAATATTTTTTAAGGAGTGGCTCCCATACAACAAATGTGTTTTTGCTTTGCCTTTTAATAGAGCAACTACACACATCAAAAGTGTCTAGGGATCAAGCATTTTTATGCGGATTTCTTGAGATTGAGATGTGGCTTTGTAATAAATTTATGATTTTATAAATTTATATGGATCCTTTTTGGTGCATTTCATAATTTGAATCAGGAACTGTGAATCAAATTCGAGTAAAAGATGAAAATCAGCTGTCAATATTTTCCCTATAAAAACATACAACGCATTGAAGACATTATTAGTGCTACTGTTTCCCTACTACTGATTAAAACCAACGTTATTATGGAGCGGCGACGTCATTTAAGCAGGGAAGAAATGCTCAGAGCCGTGGGAATGATAGAAGCTGGTTCCCGGCAACGTACTGTGGCTTTAGCTCTGAATACAAGTCAGAGTGTTATCAGTCGACTTTGGACACAATACCGAAGCACTGGTACCGTGGCTGAGCGCCATGGAGGACGGTATCGCTGCACCACACGGAGACAAGACCGATACATTCAAATCTTAACTCGAAGAGCTCCAACAATAACCGCCATGATGTTAGCCGTGAGGCTTCATCACTCTTCAGGGAACTTAGTTAGCGACCAAACAGTCAGAAACCGCTTGCATGAAGTGAACCTTCATTCCCGAAGACCGCTACGGGTACCACCTATAGCAATGCACAATCGTAGGATTCGATATCAATGGGCTCTTGAACACAGAAATTGGGCAGAAGAACAATGGCGTTTCGTGTGCTTTTCTGATGAGTCTCGTTTTGGTATGAGACCGGATACAAGACCCCTGGACGCCAACAGCGATTAAAATCCTGCCAGGAAGTCCATCCTTATAGCGGTGGAACCATCATGGTATGGGCGGGTATTTGGATCGGCGGAAGAACTGAGTTGATTTGGATCAGAGGCAACCTCAACGCTCAAATTTATGCTGAGACGATTGTATCAGACGTCATCGTTCCTCTACAAGTGCAAATCGGTCCCTTATTTCAGTTAATGCATGATAATGCACGACCGCACACCGCAAGAGTTGTAAGACAGACTCTCGCCGCAGCTAACATCAATGTCCTGCCCTGGCCTGCTCAGTCGCCAGACTTGAACCCGATTGAGCATGCATGGGATATGCTACAGAGAAGAGCTCTGCCGAATATGGAGGGTATCCAGTCGCAAGAAGACCTTTTTTTGTTGTTGCAACGAACATGGGCGGCCATTCCACAGCGTGATTTGGATGAACTCATTTTGAGTATGCCAAACCGATGTTCTTGTGTTGTTAGTGTTCGCGGTAGAAATAAGGATTATTAATTGTTTAAGTTACCCAATAAAATTTTAGAGAAAACTGTTATTTCAGTCTTTTTTTCGAACTTTTGTGTTAGTGGTTCAAATGTCAAAAATCCCTTTATTAGGAAAATGGCAAATTTCTTTATTAATGCAAAGGTGACTTGGTTTATCGTTACTGTGACAAACGAAAACACTTTATTTGATGAATCCTTAAAGAAAATTTTAATTAATATCAATCAGGAGAAAAGTTATTGCAAAAATATATGTTGATGCCTAGACACTTTTGATGTGTGTATATTAATAACGGCAACAGGTAAACTATTCAAATAGACAGAATATTCCGTTATATATTTACTTCAAAATGAAATAATTAAATTTAAACAAAATAAATATTTAAGGGGGGTTCTTGTACAACAGACGTGATTTTTTGCCGTTTTGGTACGGAACACGAGTCCGCCAAGCACTTGGCCGGTTTTTCTTTCCATCATCTTATCAAAACCATACCTCTGGTTGGGCGTTTTATTATGCATGAGTTTTCTTACATCAACAATATTCGCATTTGGGTTTCGGATTGGCACAGGGCTGTAGCACGGTAATATTATCTATACAGTATTCTATCTTCATACAAACGGTTGGAAAGCGTGTCATACCTACAGCGGGTCAATTATGCTTCAGTAATAAAATTCTAATGTGATGTCAATATGATGTTGATGCCAAGTTGACATTGTTTTTAGATGGTATTATGAAACATTCCTATGTCACATCAAGATCATATCAATATTATATCCTGTATCACATTTTTGACGTTTAAGCGATACTATTTTAAGTCAAAAAGTTGAACGTAATACGCATTTAAGTTGATATCATTTTATAGAGTTGATCATCATCATAGCATAAGTTGATGTCATTTTGATATCGCATTTTTCGGAGAGCATAATACGTAATGTGAAATAGACATCAAAACAATATCACAAATAGCGAGCATAATTGGCCTGCTGCACTCGAGTTCGCGCGGCACCCGGTGGGCATCCAGTCGCGTCGCGAATGCGCCGCAGCGACGACCGAACGGTGTGAATTGTTTTTTATGCAGTTAGCCGTGCTTAAACGTTTCTATTGTGAATATGTAATTGAATTAAATAGACACCTACATAATTTAATATGGCAAAGAGCAATAGCTGTTTTTGTTTGCTTGAACTCTACAATAATTAAACCTTTTATACGAATGCGTATTTATTATACTATTAAATTTAATAATAATGCTTTTCGTACGTTTCAGTCGAGGCGTAAATATTTTTCTGTTTCAAATCTATTTTTTTTATTAAATATTACACTTAAAATAACATATATTTTATGTAACACTTCCTAATTCATTCACAACATATTTTTTTTACATATGAAATAAAATATTTTCAATCACAAAACTAGAAAGAAACTCAATTATGTCGATGAATTTAAAATACTGTAGGCGGGCAGCCCTACCGCGTGGATACGCCCCGCTCGGCCGTAGGCAGTTATTTCAAGGACAGGGCCGAGTCACAATACTGTATAGATAGTATAGGGGTGATGACGGTGTACAGTAAACGAAATTCTATTAAGTCCGTCAGTTGGATGATCAAAAAATAATGGACACGTATTTTTTCTTTGGGCAATCAACCAAAAAATGACAACGTTAAAGCGCGTCAAAGTTTGGGAGAAGGGGCTCGTGACGTCACTTTTGATTGAATTTTCACTTATAAGTGTACTCAAACGTGACGTCATGCGACTTTTCAAATCAATATATCTCTGCAATGTTTATATTATGTGAAAAAAGAAAAAATACGTGTCCAATACTTTTTGATAATCTATCTGATAAACGAAGAAAAAAAAAATAGTCATCATCCCTATTACCGTGGCTGTAGCTAGAGTCGAATTTGAGGTAGGCCAACATTGGTTACAGGTAGGGCGTAAAAAAATTATCATCATTGACCTCTAGGTCACACGCCATACCAACCTCCATTAATTCCGATTAGCTTTCGCTATATTGGGGTGACAGCATATGTGTAAGTATGACATCACCACCATTTATTACTCTAGGTCTATGACGGAAGAAAGTTACGTCCACTGCATAGAGAACACGATAAAGATAGCGGAACAGTTGATGTGTGAGTCGAAAGGTTTACGCGAGAGCATGTTCAAAGCGCGGGAACAGGCCCGCAACCAGATGTACGCGCAGTGTCAAACGGTGGAAATGATCATGCGGCGACGAGTGTACGACATCCAAAGAGCCAGGAACGAGATGGAGTGGCAGAAGTATAAGGTCAGTGTTGCCAACTTAGCAAGTATCCCAAGAGTAGCCTAAGATCGATCTGAGTGGCGTGCATTTGGAGAGGCCTATGTCCAGCAGTGGACTAAGATATGATCTGATAAGGCTGTTGATGATCATGATGTTGCCAATATGGGGGTTTTCCACCGAATTTAAGGGGAAATGAGTAACTTGGGATTTTTTAAACGCATTAATATCTTATCATCACCAGCCTATTAACGTCCCCACTGCTGGGGTACAGATCTTCCCTGTGGATGGAATAGGGAGATTGGGCCATGCATGACCCAGCATCCAGGCCCAGTATAGATTGGTAGGTGCTTAACACTGCAGATGCAGCCGGGGCTGTCGGCTTAACGTGCTTTCCGAAGCACGGAGGAGCTCAAGATAAATTTTTTGGTCACCCATCCAACGACCGACTATTACGAAAGTTGCTTACCTTCCACGATCGTAGGCCCCCACCACCATCACCATCGAGATCTTCATTAATATCTAGCTTAATTACATTTTCCATTTCGGAGCAGTTGAGTTTCTTGCCAGTGCTTCTCAGCACAATCTCCCGCCGCCGATGGCGTAGCTTTCGACGCTCGTAAAATTGAACAGAAACAACATTTACTGCTACGAAAAGTACCTACTCCCTTCGGTGGATATTTGTTATGTTCTTAAACACAATCCGCCTTATAAAAAAATGTAGACCAATGCTAAACCTGGACTCAAACCGATGCTGTCACTTTTGATTGCTAATATGAAGATAGAGACAACAATAGGTTTTAACCAAGACTTACTTCCATCCGCGTTTTGGAAGGGAGAATGAAATCAGAGGGGTTGGTTTTTTTTTTACTTTAATTTTGGAGGCCAACATTTTTGGAGTTCATAAGTTTTACTGTTAAATGAATGAATGAACATTAGCATGAATCTTGTTACGTATTGCCTAACCTACAGACTTAAGTGGAACCCGATTTGTTTAAAAAAATATTTCTATCGAATCTCTTTACTCTCAAGTAATATTTCTTCAGCTGGAAATAAACCTACAAAAAGTGGATCGGGAGATAGAATCGTTGCGGGCGGCTGTCGCTGACAAGATCAACCCCACCAAGTTGGTAGAAACACGATTGGAGACTCGCAAACTGCGACCCGTGCTGGAAAGAGTACAGGTAACTTGATACTTGACAACTTGCAAAAAAAAATATACTTATATATGTACAGTAAGATTATACAGACTTACAACAACATACACACTCATAATATGAGTAAAATTAATAATTAATACTAAAAACAATTTCACATCAAAAAAACTATAAAATACACTAACTATAAACAAATAAGTCTCTATCTAATTACTTACATAATTACTATATATAAGTAAAATATAAATACTAGAACAATAAAACTAAAAACCTTAAAACATAAAATTAATAACTAAAATATATTATTAAAAGGAGTCCCTTTAGGCAAGGAACCGAAGATACTGGCAGCGTTACCTCTTTGAATGGCTAGACTAATTCTTTGTCCGAGGTAGCTGCCAGCTCTTCTTCTTTGTACAGTATATGTATTCTATCCGTTACCCTAGTATCCCATAACACAAGCCTTATAGTGCTTACTTTGGGGCTAGGCTAATTGGTGTGTGTTGGAAATATTTATTTATTTAATTACCTACTCCAAATTAAACTTTCTTCTTGTCCAAGTTTTTTTTATTACATTGTTATAAGTATAATTATTTAACGCTGTAAGTTTTTTCGCCAGATATTTTGATTTTTCTGACTTTTGATTAAATGGATGGATAGCAAACCAAACTTATGGGGCCTACATATGAAAAAGCGACCGCCATTAATAAATAAATAAATAATATAATAATAAATATTTCCAACACTCACACCAATCAGCCTAGCCCCAAAGTAAGCACTCTAAGGCTTGTGTTATGGGATAATAGGGTAACGGATAGAATACATATATTGTACATATGTAAGTATATTTATATAGAAATACATATTAAACATCCATGACTGGAGTACAAATGCTCGTATTCATCACACTAACATCTGCCCCCACCGGGATTCGAACCCGGGACTTCTCGAGTCGGTGGCACCATGAAACCTGGCGTACAAACCACTCGGCCACGGAGGTCGTCAAAATATTTCTAACACTCACACAGCTCTATTCTATGCAGCCAACCCACTGAGACTCGACCCAAAACCTGTGTAGACGACACCTTTAATAACTTTAGCCATAGTTATTGACGGTATGAACACCGGTTTTCCATAGCCGATAGAGGCTTGTGATACCAAAGAATCAGTTGCACCGTTGCCTTCCCTGACCCCTTCCGCTACCCCGTGGAGCCCTATACTCACCGAAAGAAACACAACTCTAACAAAACGAAGTTTTATTTCGCTGTGAAGTTCTTGAAAGGTGGAAGTTGCTTTCCCAGTCTGGCGCTCCAATTCAACTGCCCTATCTAACTCACTAAAACAACAAATATTGGTGTCGAGTCTAGCGTGATTCTCTAAACTTAATTTAACATCAGTCTCGCCTTTTCATTCTGTATAGAGAATGACAGGAATGCACTGTTGTCAAATTGAAGTTTAGCTTTAGAGAATCATGCCAGAATCGACATCACTGTCATTTAAAACTTTTGAATTTAATTTTTAATTATTACCTAAGATACTTATTTGACATAGGATAAGCCGATGCGAGGACTGATAGAGGAATACGAGAGAGTTCATATGAGTACTGCTCAATTGGAGAAGAAGTTGGAGGAAGCTTTGTAAGTGTACTCACTGACATTCTAAAACATTCGCAATTAGCATTTCATCACGCTCAACTTACACATTGATGTCAATTAAATTTGACAACAGTGCATCCTTGTCATTCTCTATACAGAATGCAAAGAAGAGACTGATGTTAAATTTAGTTTTAATTTAGAGAATCACGCCAGAATCGACACCAATATCTCCTTATTAATAAACGAAGAATAAGCTTGGATTAATTACTCCATGTTAAGTCTAAGCTAATTCCTCGTTAATTAATAAGGGGCTATAAGATTTATTACAAGCCCCCAGCACAGATGAAAACCTAAATATAATCTTAAACTTACTTAATTTAGACCCATCGAGTTTTCAAAATCACAGACTTTGCATATTCTGGGTTTCTGACACTTTTAACTAAAATAATACTTATACTCTTTTCATTTTCAGAGTTATATTTATCACGAACTTAAAACAAATTGACTAATATTTTTTGTAATTTCAATTAAATGTAAGTCCAGCCCGACACCTGATCCGATTGGAACTCTATGAAGTAAAAATTTTTAACAGTTCAATGTTTGAAATAAAACTTGATTTACTGAGTCGGCTAACAAGAAATACCAGCCCATCTGACATAATTTGTTAATCTTACTTTGTATTTAATTAGTTTTTCTACCATTTTTCTATTTTCTACCAGGACAACTTATCACGGCATGTACAACCATCATCAGCGCGTTACCAAAGACTTGCAGTACAAGAACCAAGCTCTAGAAACGGACAGAAGATTGGCAGAGATCAGAAAACCGATACATGCACCAGACGAAACAGAATTCCAAAGGAATGTTGGGTATTGCCATATGAACGAAGAACTGGCTCAATAGAAAATGAGCTTAAAAGTAGTAATCATGAGGTTAAAAATTAAAAATGCTTTTTAGTAAAGGAATTGTACAAAATCCAAGCTCACGAAATACAAAAACTGGTAAACGCTTTCAGAATAATGTTCGGTATTGCTCCCATGAGCAATATCCAACATTATTCGTTGTTTCGTCCATACTAAGAACTGGTTTATTAGAAAATAACCTTAAAATAAGTAAACGTAAGATCAATAATGCTTTTTATGAGATTTTGTACAAAAACCAAGCTCTCGAGGAACAGAGATAGAGAATAGGAAACTGTGAAAGGAAATTAGAAACTTGATCCTAAGATAAACTAACGTAACAAAAGTTTAACTAAACTTTGTCACAATATTTTAATGTAAGATTTCTGTTTGAGATAAGTTAAATGTTCCTACCAAAATACTGTGTTCACTACTAATATAAGGAAGTTCTGAATTACTAATCTAATTACATTGTGTGCTGCAAAAGAAAAATGAAAAAACAGATAATACGACTGTCAAACAAACTGATGAAATAATTATATTAGACTGCGGCTTTTTGGACTGAAAATGATGATCTTGAAAGCAATCACATATTAATGGTTCAATAAAACTAAGATACTTGTCATATTTAAAATACGGAAATACATTGCGGTAGTTTATTTGGAAGACAGAAAGAACCCCGTTTTATTTTCAAATATATATAAAATTTCTTCTACGTCGCCTACGTTTTCTTTTTGAAATTTTCTAACAGCTTGTCGATACATGATGGAGACAAAAAATAATTTAAAGCTTATTTATTCAACATAAATTTATTTGAACAATATAGTAATTGGCTTTTTTATGAGTTAGTGAGTGACAAATAACACAGCTAGGCTATTAACTGTTCATCATGTTTTATAATTTTTGACAATTGAGGAGGATGCTTATTTTTATTTTTTTATATAATTTATTTACTTCATTAACAAAGCTTTTTATTATATTTTTTTATAAATGGCCTCCCATGCCAATAACTATAAATTATTCAAAATAGTGTGACAGCTATTGGCCACTACAAAATTTCGAGTTTAATTAGTTAATGTGCGTTTTATAAGACTTCAATAAGGGTACCACAAAAAATACTTTTAAAGATATCGTATCAAAACAGTCTTAATTTTTTTAACAGACTTACTTACGTTTACTCCTCCGGTAAAAAATCACATATTAGAAAAAAACAAATCCATCCATCAGCCTTTCTCCGTCCACTGCTGGACATATGCCTCCCCAAAAAAAAAAAATCCACCTAGTGGAATTTTGTTGAAATATTTTGACAGTTAATAAAAGTGTTGCCAATTTCTGTCTGGCGTATCTTGTTTTTTAACATCAATATAGCGTCACCCCTATTTGAATTTACTATTTCCCGTTCTTTTGCAAATTTTATGCCCTCCCTACGCTGTGTTAGACGGAGCACTGTTTGATTATAATAAAACCTTTATTTGCTCACAATCACTTTATTTATATATTTACGTTTGTTATTATTTTGCCATCACTTTATTGTTCACCTTTTTAGTTTTAAGAATAACGATTCGCGACGGGCTTTTTTACTAGGACATTGAATAATTCCTCAGAGTTTCTTTGCTGAAGGCCAACCGGCAAGCAGAAACCAGGTGCGTTGTTGGGCAGCAATCCCACAAATCAGAACAAGACTGACTGTAATATTGAAATCGCGGGTTTTTATACAAAAAATATGGCTGATCACAAATTTAGTACAGTAGATCCGCAGTAATCCGGACCCCGTCTTATCCGGCGCCTCCTGTAATCCGACACGCTTATCACTGTTGTATTGCACATAAACTCAATGAGGGCTATCGCGTATGAATCCGCCGCTAGAGGCGCTAGTGTAGCGTGAGGTCTCCGAAATGTCAAATGTTATTGCTTGTTGGTTGACTACGGGTTTATTTCTAATTAAAATAATGTTGTGAATAATTGGTAACAATTCGGCTTAATTATGGCAAATATGAGTTATGTGGCAATGAATGTCAGTTATTAAAAATTTGAGCTTAGAAAAATGATTATGTTCCCATTTTTTCCGAATAAAACGGAACTGCGCGTCACTGTGGCATGGCCTATTATGTTTAGGATATGGTTCTTTTGTGTTAAAATACGATCTAAATGTAACCTTTGATTTCATGTGCGTATTAATAAACTTTAAAAGTTACAATTTAGGACCTCACTCAACAGTGGCGCCATCTGGTGAGGCAGAAAACGGTAGCCCTCATTGAATAGATTTGTAATTTGTCGGATTACAAGGTACTTATATTCCAAAAATTCCGGACTATAGAGGGTGGTCTTAGACAGTACTCTGTAATCCGACAAATTCGATAAGGCGACATCGCCTTGCAAAACGTTTGTTGGATTACCGCGGGTCTACTGTAATGGAAATAATTATTCATATATTCATTTGAAAGTATTAAACATGATTTACATAACTCTGCCCAATAGGCACTTGGCATTATTCATAATGTCCGGGCAATGTGATAAATTGAATGGTTATAATCACTTTGTTATAGTTTTCCTACGTCAGAAATATTTCTGTAGTAGGCATTAGGTAGGCAGGTTATAACAGCTCGCCTCATTATAATATAACTGTTATTATAACAGGTAAAACATTATAGTGTTCAATATTTGCTACAATGTTTCTCAGCAAAAACGTCATTGGTATCTAAAAAGAAACTACATAATTATATATATTTTCCTTTTATTTAACGTAACGAAACGGACGAACATGACCCTTATAAGCGTTTTACAATAAGAAAAAGCGTTTTGTCAATTATTTAAAACCAATAAAGAATGTTTAATACAGAGAGTACATATTTTAAATTAGTACATAATTCAAGCTTTTTGCATCACATAGCCACATCTCTTTTACACCATATGGTTAGAAAAGGACAGCGGTATATTCTTAGCCGTGAAAATTTAGCTTCTGGATGCAAATAGAAACTACGTCATTTTTATATCCTTTTCTAGTAAATAATAACAATATAGTTTAACCTTACATACATTGTGGCCTAATTAAGTTTAAAATAAGTATAACTTATGATTTCGAGTTAAATGCATAATATAAGTAATTATAAACACGAATCCCAAAAACATTTTTAAAATATATTTTGTTCTTCACGTCTGTAGGTACGAACAGAAACTACAGATTTTAGTAAATACTAAATAGATACAAGTTGGCCCTTTTTTATTTAATAACTATTCACCTATTAGCAACACATTTAATATTATATGTACTAAACAAACACAGCTTTAAAAACAAAATTATTGTGACTTCTACAAGGATGTTTATGAATATGAGTGACAGTACAGAAAGGGCGCTGCTGCTGCTTAATGTTACCAGTACTAGAAAATCTCCCGATTTATAGGGAACGCGTCTTGTTCTACATTTTATTCTAGTTTAAATCTAAAGAAAATATTACTAGAAAAAAAATTCAAGCGGGCCAAGCAGCAGGCGGGTCTCGAATCATCACCCTTCGCTATCCAGGCGAATGCACTGACCATTATGCTACCGCGGCCCTGATGGCCGTGTCTAATTCGTTCTAGCCGTTCTTAAGCTGCAAGGCAGCGCCATTTCTTCGCATTGTTGGTAACCCACAATTTCAAATGAATACCTTTACAAGTAATAAACATTTGAAAGTGAAATAGCAATTATAGTTCCAATTTTTTTTAAGCATGAATGCTCTATGTTGAAATCTTCAAATTTTTTTTGGAACATTAAATTTAATAAACCCGATTTGCTTTTAATGATCATTGAACGAATGAAAAAAAGAACACCATTATAAAAAAAATCTACTGCTAATTTAGAAACCATTTTAAAAAAGCTTTGTTGTTCTTTTAATAAAATACCTAAATACTAAACAATGGTTTAGCCTATTGTTATGTCTTATATTAATAAGTAGCAATATAGCCGAATTAGTTTTTCATCAAGTGAAAAACGTTACTTTTTGGTTTGGTAAATAAACTATTTATTATTTATTTATTTAATACATTAGTTTTATTTATTTTGGCGTTTTATTTGATTACCAATAACTTCCGTAAACTACCATCAGTTCCAATTGGGGATAACCTCTTAGCAGAACTTGCCATACAAAATATGACGTATAAAAAAGATGGCTGCATGATGTTAGTTCCTATTTTCGCCACATTCATAATCATCCTCGTCGCACTGTTACAATAAAATTCGCTGGAATTTCAATGGGTGTATGTGTATGACAACATAATTTCTTTGTCACCTAGAGAGCATTCTTAAATTTGTGAAATACATTTATTTTCATCTTTTATCTAGTACATAACATTCATCATCATCATCATCAGCCTATTAATGTTCTCACTGCTGGGGCACAGGCCTTCCCTATGGATGAAATAGGGAGATATTAAAACAGGGCTATTTAAAACTCGGTTTAATTGCTAATAGCACCTTAAACTGTAACAATGAACACATTATGCAACTTTCAACTCCAATTTAAAATTTTAAATATTCGTTTTCCTAAATCTTATTCATTGCACCAATATCGAGTAGGTTTTTAACACATTATTTTAAAATTCAGGGGATCACCGACTGTTTCAGGAACATGATATTTTTGAAAACAACACTAAACAACAAGCATCTATAAATATTATTTTTAATTAGTCCTTTAACAATGAAGAAGAGAAATTCTTATTTTGTGTTCGCTCTCAAATACAGCATCATATTTTATCGTACACAACATTATAATAGGGTATTTGACAGTATTAATAATAAAGTGCCAATTGTTAACATCTGTGTTTAGATGGAATATTGGCAGGGGTTTTTACTATATTAACAAAAAAAAATATTCATAATTTTACTAAAAACCCTCGAAAAAGATAATAGTTTTCTTATATATTTCGGATTGGCGGAGCCTAAAATGACGTCACACGCAAGTAAATTTCCGGTTAAAGTGACATTACATTGTATCGTTTGACGTTTCAATAACAGTCGTGTGACGTCACACACTAGTAAGACGCCATATTGTCCAGAGAAACGTTTTCGCGGCAACTTGAAAATGGAGTTTTTGATTTGGTTATTTTTACTGAAATACACAACAGAATAGAAAAGAAAGAAATAGACTCCATAAACATTAGTCAATAACGTGAGATCGTTACCTAAAACTTGTCAAATACCCTATTACATTATACAGTATTTTCCGGTTCCATCATTTCTTTAATCAAATCTATTGTCATTTAAATGCTGAATTTCGGAAAATGTAACTTATGATTTTTGTTACTAATATTATAAAGAGATAAATTAAAGTTAGTGAGTATGTTTCGTGAGAACTGATCTCTAGAACTAGTACTTTCACCAGTCGAAAGCTACATTATTCTTGAGCGACGCAGGCTAATGTGACCAAAAAATTAAGACATTGTATAAAATTTGATATATACATGTATATTCCCTGGTGTAAACGAGGGGTACCAAAACCCCATAAATGAATGGTGGACTTTTACAGAACTTTGTGGTGGATTTAAAATTATTCATAATATTTTATTATAACTAATACGCGTAATATAGAATATTCATGCATTTATATAAGAAGTTAAAAAGCGTAAATAGGAATGCTTGATAATAATAAAAATAATAATAAAATAACTTTATTTCTCACCACAAATGACAAAAAGGGTTTACACAAAATCTTAGGCGAATTTTATAATCATGTCGTCATTCGTGGGAGACTGGTGCCCGTGTAGGTTCATAGACCCGTGTTACAGGTCACCTAATGTTACTTAAAAACACAAAAATATATAAATAAATGATATCATAATTATCTATGTTTGACCCCTTTTTTACCGATTTCAAGTTTTGTTATTTTAGTGATGTCCAGTGCCGTCTTTGACCTATTGGAGGCCCTGGGCACTTGCCCAAAGTGCCCACTGGGATAGACGGGTCTGGTGATATCATTATAACCTAAGATTATTATATTGAAGGCCAGACATACATAATTATGTTGACATTGGCATCTTTAAATCTACAGATTTAATGAAAAGTAGATACATAATACAATAATAAATGCAAATGTAAATGCCAGGTTTTTTTTTATTAATAATCCCATTTTATGTCCTAATTTTTTTTATTTTCAGTTTGAGTTTCATGTAAGGTTTATCAATGAAAATCACCACTACAATATGGTAATATTTTTAAATCTAAAGATTTTGTTCATGTTTGAGACGAGACTTATATAATTAAAATCTATTCGTTTTATTCAATACATTTTTATTTTTATTGTTTTTTTAAGTTAGCACCTTTGGAAAGACACCCCTAACTTAGCTTATAATAAATACACACAAAGTATTAAGTTAAAGATAAGAACGAAACAAAATTAAAGATATTTCTTATGCACTGAATGCAATCAACGAAAATGCATTCTCGCATATTTTCATATTTTATAATTATATATTCAATTAAAATATTAAATACCTTTGGTATTCTATTAAACAGTAAATATCTATCCTAGAGTACAAAGAAAACTGTGGTCTACCAAATTTGGTCGACAATCAATTAATCACACTAAAAAAGAGAACATAAAATGAAGAATTTAGAATTTATATGACCGTAGAATGTTTCTATAAAGCAGTATACAAGCAATCTTCGGTAGCGAAATTATAAGTATTGAATTTGAAACAACAATCTTTAACATATAAAAGGTATTTAAAAATGACAAAATGAGCTTTATTCCCCATTCATAAGGTTGTTGTTATTTTTCTATACTGATTAAGTAAATAATTTTTGCTAGTCTTTTTAAAGTTTTTTTTTATTTTAATATCATCATCCTAGCTTAAGTTAACTCAAATTAAACATAAAACCATAACCGTCTTCAGTAAGATTTTTTTTGTGATATACATTTTTTTATGAATGGTCTCTATTTTCTATTATAAAGAACTTATATGAGAAAATTATATTTTGAATAAGACAAGTAACAACACCAGGCTTTTATGTAAATAGTAGTAAAAAAAATGCATAAGGTTTCACTTGAATACTGCATGATTTGTGTGTATAAAACATTATGATAATTTCTTTGTTATTATACCTTTGTAATAAGGTTCCTTAGATTAAAACAAAAAGGGATGATACGGCACTCGCGGCTCAAAAGTGATCCACTTAAATTGTGGTGCTTGACCTCAATTCGTTTTTGTCACAATTGGTCATCCAAACACGATGCATGTGCACTCAATATAACATCATATTGCGTATATTCTGTGTTAAAGGGGTTAAACTAAGCCTTCGATGCTTTTGTAAAGAACACAAATAGTTCAAGATCAAATAACAAATGCCATGGCAACACATTCGTAAAACTATAAAAACATTTTTTTTTCTTAAAAATCACGGTTTGCCATGAATGTTAGTTACTTACTGACAACAATACAGCTCAGCCGACTGTAGAGAATGAAAATAAAACGCAGTCGGCTGCAAAGCGACGCGGACTCGCTCTGCGTTGAAGCATAAAATAGGCTATTTGACAGTATGAAAAATAAGGTACCAATTGTTGGCAACTGTATTTAATATGAATAATAGCAACGATAATACTATTCTAAAAGAACCAATAAGTAATAAATTTTATATAAAATCATTTTATAGAATTGTTTTTTTTTTGCTCCATGGTCACGTGACCAAAAACGCCTCTGATTGGCCAAGACTAAAATGGCGTCACACGCTAGTAAACTTCCGGCCAAAGTGACATTATTGTGTATCGTTTGACGTTTTAACGACAGTCGTGTGACGTCACACACTAGTGAGACGCCTTAATGTCTAAAAAAACAGAACAGAATCAATTTTTTAACAGAATTACACAACAGAATTTAAAATATCCACCTTTTATGGACCTCATAAACATTAGTTAATAACCTGGGATCATTTTCCAAAACTTGTCAAATAACCTATTCTGTCACGCTCACTCGATGCTTATTTACAGAAGTATGCGTGTGTGTGAGAGTTGCTTATATAATATCTGAGTTGGATCATATTTACCGTATCATATCTTCCCTTTTTGTTTTAATCTAAATAAGGTTCAAATAACGCTTACAAACCCGTTGGCACCGGCAGGAGATCCGGTTTGGGACCAACCTTTTCATATGCTTCATCGAGTAAACTGCATATCAACGATATGTTTTCATCATTCAATTTTCTGCTTGAAGCGATCCTTATTGAGGGCTCGGGGCAGTTGACTTCTATGTCTCTCAAATAAGCCGCTACTGCGAATGCTACGCCTTTTTCTAAACAGTAATCAGCAATATTTCTCAGGTAGCTGTGCTTTAGACGGTCTGTCAGTTCATCTTTCTTCAAGTAAATGTGTTTCACTGGCGACAGATCGTCTCCCCTGTACCTGAAGTACTTTAACTTTGCCAATGCTCTGGAAGACAATATATACTGTTATTAGTTTGGTTTGGTTTAATCAAGTCATCAGCTTTTTTAAGTATGTAATAGGAAATTGTAATACTATTTTTTTTTGTGGGATTACTTGACATTACTATTGTGGCGGCGACATCTATGGCCAGCGGTAATGACGTCAAGATTTCGACGCCATATTATGCTGGTGAGAATACTGTGACGTATAATAGCTGGGTGTATACACTCTGCAGTTAGTGAAGGTCTTTTTTGTATTAAATTGATAATAATGGAATTTCAACAAACAGAAAAAATAGTTTTCATCGATGAAGGGAATAACAAGATTTACACACTTTATTATAATTTATTATAATTTTTGGAGCATGAAGTTGAACACAAACACGAGACTGCTTGAATATTGCGCCAGTTCATGACGTCACCGCGCTGATCAGTGTATTTGGAAATTTTGGAACGAATCAACAGCATGGCATCGATTCTTGACGTCATTAGCACTGGCCAGTATACTGGTATATATCACGGAACACACCCTATATGTCCCACATATATCCAATGGATTGAGGAAATATTCACTCGTCTCCTGAAGAGATGGCGCTACCGACGCTGCGATCAATACGTATGGAAGCCTACATCGCGCAAGTGAAATTCGGATGCTAACACTTCATATATACAGTGCCCGACCAACATCAGTCGGGCCGCAGCCCTCGAGCTACCATCATCCAGCTAGAAGGAAGATCTTCCCCTTTGGCCTTCCTACACTATTTTTATCTTATTGGTGTTGTCTCACCATAGACATAGAAAATGCAGTTCAGCATAGTTTACAGTTGGACGTTTCCTTATTCGTCAATTTTGCCTAATGTCTGCCTAATAATACTAAGCTAGTGTAGGCAACACATTTCTGAGTCTGTGCTTCATATAATAAATAGGTTATAAAAATAAAATAAATAGTTATTTATTAAAACCTTTTCAAAATCTTTAAAATACAATGTGTCTAATTTAAGTCTTTGTGTACTACTAACGCCATCTGTTGAGCTAGATGGGAACTAAATTAACTTTTATTGAAGGTGCATTTGAATATTTTTCTAAAATAATATGGTGGTATTTCAATACAACGCTTTCTTCTGTCGTTACTCAAGGTGAACGCTGTGTTTTATTTTCTATCCTTTATAGTTATTGTGCAAGTTTGCTCGCTGTGTAGTGTTGGTGTTTGTGGCCTGTATGGGAGGAATCTGAGGCGCGTCTTATATGAGAGTTGTCAAATTGTAGTCTATAGTTCTAAACGAGTTCTGACTTGAAGTTCCTTTGTCTGTATTCTGTAGGTTGTTACGCCTGAGATGTATGTGAAACTGCATTGGATTCTTAGACATACTAGGACATACTAGATACTTGTTACAATAATGATGCGGGTGAAATAGTTTGCATTGAAAATTAATTAATCTTCACTGATAATACCGGGTAATACTGTAAATAATAGTACAATTCAACAGAAACATGTGAATATTGGATAATCAAAGTTATAGTAATCTTTTTATTTCTTAGGAAAATACAGTGTAGGTTCGTGAGTCAATCCATGAGACCATTACCAGTAACAATTCCTTATCAAACAATAAAATGACTCAGTATTGTTGGTCATTTCTTTATCAGTTTAACTGTGAAATACTGATATTTTTTTATAGTTTTAGAGCTGACACATATATTCAAGGAAATCAGTTCATAAACACATTATTACTGAAATATTATTACATTTTGGAGAGACCTCTTATTACGGCGCCACTTCACAGGACTCTTAGCGACTAATGAAATTGTCAATTAAACAATTAAAAAGAAAAACCATGAGTTTCTTTTTAGTTATTCTTTAAACCAATACGAATAATTTCCATTTTTTTTCATTATTTACCCAAAAGGCAGCCTCCCCAAAATTTAATCTAAAAAAATATTCATTAAACATTCAAAATTGCATATTTTAAACGCGACAGCTTCATAGGTGTGCAGATTATGTGTCTGATAATAAATTTAACTCCAGTTATGGTAATAAAAAGTAAAAGGTTAATATCATCGACGTATTCACTTATTTGATTCCCTTAAAAGTCCCAGGAATCATTTTCTTAGTAAATTGATAAAGCAATAATAGGGATACATATTTATATAAACTACTAACTTGTTTAACTTCTTAGAGCATTCATCAAGCTCGCTCAATATGGCCGGTTTATTTTCAATAATGTCAAGAGCAGTGATGGCCGCCTGTGTCAGCATAGGTGGTAGCGAAGCACTGAAGCAGTAACCTGGAAAGCAAGATTGTTCTATCCTTACCCCATATCAATAAAAAGATTGTTGTAAGTATGTTTACATTGTTGAGTTTTTTGGTTCATAAGAATTTCTTACGGAATAAAAAAATGGAACCAATATTTTGATATTTCTACTCACCCAAACCAGATAATCTTTGATGTTCAACAATAAAGTGAGTGCCTGCACAAAAGCCACCGATAGAAGCGAAAGAATGTTCTAAAGAACCCACGATAAGATCAATCTCCTCTCTTGGTACATTCAAGTGCTCCGTTAGGCCTCTGCCATTCTTGCCTAGCACCTGAAATTAATATGCTTATTTAGCATAGGAAATCTTTTTTATCATATTTCAATCAACAATAATGGATGCATCCAGTATTATAATAATAACAAATGAATTACGTATTCAAATTTATTCAGTCAGTTAATATAAAACACCAATTTCAATTAAGAATAATTGAATCAACACATACTTCATTTCATATAAAAAAATCAACCTAAAAATAAACTGGGGCTTTAACATAAGCACTTTACATCGTTTTAACCTTACTTCTATTGTTGGAACAAAAATAAAATCTGCCTTTATCAGTTAATGTAAAATAGCTTTTCTATCACACATATTTAGAATTAAGGTCAACTTAGTACTTGGGAAAGTCCCCTTAACCCCAATTAAAAAATACTTTACCAGGTTTTGATTAAAATTTTGATACTATCATAAAGTAGCATACAATTACTTTTATTTATCCCGTTTGGACTTTATCACCATGGTAGAGTCATTTGCCTACCTGACTATATAATAAAAAAATAAATTATGTTTTATAACACAAAGGAAAATCTATTCAAATTTAATTAATCACTTCCTCAGTATTATTAATTTAAATCAGTTTTTCAAAAAGGTTATGCTATTATTACTTTCAAATAGTGTGTCCTTTGTAGGTGACATTTAAATTTACCATAAATATATCTGCTGCATCAATATTACAAGGCACAATTTAGTAATTAGTTATCTAATAGGAAACTTACTCCAATACTCAAACTTTCATCTAAAATAATCCGCAGCTTGTAGTTTCGGGCCAACTCCACCAACCTCTTCAATGGACACATCTCACCAGTGTTAAAGTAAATAGCTTCCGCAACTAGAAATGCCCTTCGTCTACTGCTCAGTTCTCTTTTCTTTGTGGCCTCTGACAAGAGCTGCTCGAGGTGGTTCATGTCGTTGTGTTTGAAGTAACGGACAGTGCTGCGTGCTGCATCAAAACCTTTTTGGATGGCAAACCACACACACTCATCACTGGAAAGTAGTACATATGATTTACTTTTTGCAATGTTTTGATGTTTCATTATTCATATTGTGTAATTATCTATTTATTATTAAATTGGAATGTTGTTAACCTGCATTCGGTTAGCTCATTATCTATATTTTAATATTTTAATTTTATATTAGTAAAATATGTGTTTTTTATACTATTTTCAAAACTGAATATGATATTGATATATAGTAACGCTGTTAGTAATCTAATGTGTATATAATAAGTTTCTTTAAGTGGCCTTAAGATTATATTTATACTTTATTGTATTACATCCACAAAAATTGCTGTAGAAACTTTGTTAAAGATAAATAAATCAATTAATATTGCTCAAAAACAACTGTAACTGTGCTGCTAAGAGTGTACAGTAATAATTTCACAATATGCATGTCAAAGCAAATAGGTACCTTTTAGCTTACAGAGGAAATGTTAGTTAAATAAAAGAATAAAACTAGTTTTTACGGGTTAATGCACGAAACTTTATTTATTTATTGACGTTTCGTAGCCTTTACAGGCTACGTCATCAGAATAAAACTTTTATTTAATTTGTCGAGCTACCTTCGAAAGACTTTTATTGAGCGTTTGGTTATTTCATTGTTCGATTATTAAGTTTTATTGTCTATGTATGAATTTATTATTTAATTTACTTAATAAAGTATTTTATTTCAAATTCTTGTTTGTAATTTTGAGTTTATTTATTTGACCCTAACTACCGTAAACTACCACCGGTTCCAAAATTGGGAGACCTTCCTGAGAAGAACTGGCGAAACAAACTCAAGAGAGGCTTTCTATCTCCTTCTTATGTTAAATTATGGAAACAAAAAGAACTAATAGTATCTGATGGTCTTGCAGTGTGTGCTCGGGGTTGGGATTTTATCTCCTGTATAATAGGTTCCCAAGCTGGTGGTATATACCAACCATCTTCCCTATTGAAATTTGGATATTTTTTAATCTCAATAGCCTCACGCATCATTGGAGGCTATGAAACGTCAATAAATAAATAAAGTTTCGTGCATTAACCCGTAAAAACTAGTTTTATTTAATTGGTGTGTGCGTGAAAACCTAAGAAACAAATAAATAAAAGAAGTTATGAATAAATTAAATGCTTACAAGTTAAAGTAATCTGTTAAATAAATAATAGAATTCGTAAAAATTTATTTACCATTGGAAACTTACGCAAAAATGATGTCTCCTTTTTTAGCATAGGCAGGTATTGCACTAGCAATAGTAGAAAATCCATAAGAGTACACGCATGTCTCTTCAACCTCCATAAATTTCGCTAAGCGTTCTTCCAGTTCCAAATGGACATCTATGGTACCATAAAATCCTCTGGGACCACAAGAGCCCACACCATACTTTTCAAAAGACTGTAATGCACTATCTATTATAGATTCATCCTTATCCAAGCACAAGAAACTTGTCGCCCCAACGTTCAATACATTATCGTCGATTTTACCCATCAATGGGGGCTCCTCAACGGTTACATCGTTTTCTATCAGAGGGACTGGACTCCACTCTGGTGATGTACCATTGCAAACAGAGTTGTAACTATTACGACTCTTTTTCTTCGACAAAAGAAAGTACGTCGAACCGAGAATCACTTGAAATGCAATAACCAAGGTCCACCAGCCAGCCTAAAACCAATCCTTGAGTAAAATTCACATTTTCAGAGTAACCTTAAATCTTCTCAAGTTGAAGTACTTACCATATCGTATATATCAATTAAAATCATTTCCGAATCAGTTTGTTTTGCCACTGATGGTTATTTAATTTGTATTTTCAATCACGTTGCTGCAGGATCAGCTGTTTTTTTGGTAGGTAATAGATTACTTGCTCAGTATTTCTATTTTGGTTAGGCAAACACAGACTACCTAAATAAGCCCCCATTTCTAGGGATACGCTGATGCGATCCGATCCTTTGAAAGATCGGATCGGAAGGTATACGATCCGGTGATTTTCGGATCGGATCGAATCCATACGATTTTTTGCCGGATCGTTACAAAACTTGAAAGATCGGATCGCTTGGATCGTATGAATTAAATAAAATTAAGGTTTCTGTTACGAACTTTATCTTTGTTTACCTTTTAACTTGGCGGCATTCTTTGCAGGTGGATCCATTAATCTTATACATTACATTATTATAAACAAAAGTTGTGGGTAAATTTATATATATACCACTAAAGCTATTTCTTACTACAACCACATAAGTCACCTATTTTTTGCACAATGAACATAAGTCAAGAATAAATTTTCATAATTTTTTCATTATTATTATTTATGAACAGTATTGGTACCGAGGAGATTTCCCTAGTGGCTGTTTGCGGAACTAACGTATGACAGATACTTTCACCTAGCTGTGTAATACAAAGAGCCGGTTTATTGTTGTTTTAAATTATTTAAACAAAATTTTGCTAAGATTTCACTGTTAGACATCTACGAAGTGGTAAAAATAGTAAAAGACCACTCCGTGAGGGTGAACAGTATTTTAAAAGTGGAATGTTTAATGTGTGTTGGTGTCAAAGAACGAAAATCTGAAAAAGAGTGTCTGGGCTTAGCTGCATAAACTTCTGGTGTACTTGATTATCCATATGAAGTGGAATGTAATTTGGACACATCAAAACTGGAAGGTCAACGTATAATCGATGTAAAATGTAAATGTCCAGCTGGGAACTCTGGTCAATGTAAACAGTGTTGCATTGCTTGTTTTTAAACAGGTTAGTATCAGCCTTTGATTTGTAACAGTATTATTTTATTTTGTTGAATATCTAAGCAAAAAATAAGATTAATATGTGCATAATTTTTGTACAGAGTTGATGAAGAAGAACTTGATGATTTGAGCTGTACAGATTTGGAACAACAATGGGGATCAATAAAAGCAACTCATTATAAAACTTATGAAGCAAAACGTCTTTGTGATTTGTGTCATGTGAAGTGTCAATCAAGGTCAACTGTACAAGTGACAGAGGTCATGAAAGCTCGATGGAGAGAAATACTTCTACAATGTAAGTTCAGATCTGACGAAAATCAACTATAATGTAAGAAGATATCAGTGGCGTAGCTAGGGGGACAAGGGCCCTGGTGCATAGGGAAAGAATCGGGCCCTCCTCCTCCCTTCTTTCCGCGTAGTTTCAACTTATATTGACCTTCAAAATTATTGATAAGAATAAGAATAGAAAACAGTGAGTGAACTTATCCCTAGTAGGCTAAATCCATACGTCGTCTCTATTAGAATCTCCATGTGTTTAATAGAAGAAAAAGGGAATAAATAAACAACGACGCACATGACAATATAGAATATTTATTATACAGATGAGATTAATTAATGGAAAAAACGATTTTTAACAGAATTCCCCGCCCAATTCACAATCTCTTGCGCGCTTTAATTTTTGCGAATTCGTCTATAATTTCACTCAAATCCAAGTTTGATGCCGCCTCATTTTCTATTGCAATTAACGATAAATGTCGGAGGCGATCTTGTCGAATGCTGTTTCTTAAATAATTTTTTATAATCTTCAGTTTACTGAAAGATCTTTCTGCTGCCGCGGAAGTAACAGGAATTGTATGAAACAGTAGCATCGCTGTATACACTTCCGTAAGGTCACATTCGAGCACGCCAAATTTTGTTATAATTTCTTTGCAAAGCTGGCGAATAGACCACGTCTCCATCAATTGAGGGAGGATCAGATGATATGCATTAAGAAATTGGAGCGAAAAATTGGGTCCAATTATATCGCAATATTTCTTCTGAAACTGATCACATTTCTCGAGTAAAATCGTTTCATTCCAGCTAAGCAAGTTTTTTGGCATCAGGAAGTCGAACGATTTACAAACTGCACTCATACCAATAAAACGCGCATCTAACTGATTGATTATTATGTCGAGTACATTGTTGAAAATAGTTACTCTAAAGACTTCTTCCTGGTTTTCGAATCGGTGATCAGAAGCCAATTCATCGAAATGCTTTTTAGTTTTTCTTCGTCGCTTTTCTGGAAAGGTAGGATCGATATCGTATTTTCTCGCGGTTTCGGTGGCCTTGGATTTGAAGGACTCGAAGTCATTTCTGTACTTTTTCAATTTATCCGTTGTTTCGTCTAAAGCCTTACTCGCTTCATCCAAAACGATATCACGTTTTTGCAAAACTTTGGAAACATAATTGATGTTGTTCAATACGCTGTGCATGAATTCACAAAGAAATACAAACTCAAAATTCAGCATTTTTGATTTTATAATCTCTGCTTCACTACGTTCGTCTTTACTGGAACTTTTCAGCGTTATTTCGGACAATGCTTTAATGATATCGAAAAAACGAAGTTTGACTGCAGTTATTGAGTTAACCCTGCTGGACCATCTTGTCGGATTCAATTTTTTTAAAGTAATTTCTGATTCACCGGTGAATTTCGATAAAAGGTCCCAGCGCTTAATGCTGTTTCCAAAGAAGTTAAACAGGTCTTGAATTGTTGCAAAAAACTTTTGAATTTCGACGGAACCTCAAACGGCATCATTTATTACCAAATTTAAATTATGACTGGCGCAATGTACGTACTCTGCGTTTGGCTGAATATCTTTAACTTGTTTTTGTACTCCATTATACGCACCACTCATTACACTGGCCCCATCGTAACCTTGCCCAACACACTTTTTAAAATCAAGACCCTTTTCGGAGAACAACGTGGTAACTTGATTTACCAAATCCGCGGCGCTGTGTTTAGTGACTGCGTGGAAACCTAGAAATACCTCTCTTACTTCAATATCGATTGCTTGTCCATTTTCCGATCTTGATATCACTGCATATCTTACGACAATGCTTAGTTGATCCACTTTTGATATGTCCTGCGTGGTATCCATGATGATGGTAAAAAACGGTGACGCCCTAATTTGATCCAATAAATGATTCTCGAGTTTGGTGCCCAAACACTCGATCATTTCATTTTGAATCGTTGCACTGAGGTATCGTGTTGATCCTAAAAACATGGGGAATATGAGAAAACATTAGATTATGATAACATAAATTATTAATTATAAACTCAGTAAACGAGATAAATTCTTACCTTTGGGCATATCCAAAACTTGACGCAAGATGTGGTCGTATCTAGCAACGAGTTGGACAATTGAGAGAAAATTTCCGTGGTTTCCTCCCTCACTCAGATCCTCACGATGTCCTCTCAAAGCCAAAGAACTGTTCGCAAGAGTAATTATGATATCGAATAATCTCCGAAGAACTTGTCTCCAAAATGACGCTTCTTTGCGAATTTCATCTTCAAGTTCTCTGTCGATGGTAGAACTTTTTTGCCACGCTTCATATACAGCGCACGCCTCCGTGTGTGCTTTCGAGGAACCATGTTGCTTCACTCTATCTGATAAATGCCTCCAGTCCCGGATGCCTGTGCACCATGCATTTATTTGCGAAGCAAACAACCAACACGGTTGGCAGTAGGCAGCATCCAGAATTTTCGAATAGCATATCCAAAAACGATCCACTGGACCGTATTGTGACGTAGAAACGTAATACGTTTCTGAAAAGCTCCTGTTATCTTGGTGGGGGTCTTTCGGAAAAGGTCCCGGAGGTTTCAAAGGTCCTTTTTCAAGAATCAGCCGTTTTTCGTTATCGTTCAATTTCTTGTTCGTGTACTTTCCCAAGTCATTTGAAATTTCAAGAAGTTTTGAAGATGAAGAAATGGATGATTCTTCTAATGTAGGTTGCACGGAAGCGTCGCGGTAGTCATTTTCAGCAGTGGTATTGTCGGTAGTTATTGGATCCTGATATTCCTGATCTACTCGAGTCACTTTATTAATTAATACAGCTGTGTCCACGTTATCAATAATTGAACACTCGTCACTTTTGACCGATATTCCAGCTGTTGAAGGAACTGTAGCAGAAAGCGGTTTCGTAAAAAAGCTGTCTAGCTTGGTCAATTTTTTTTTACTTTCTTCCCTTTCTTGACGTTGTTTCCGCTTTGCGGCACCGCTACGTTCCTTTTTTCTTTCCATAATTTTTAATTACATGGAAAAGAAGAAACAGTTCAAAATACAGTGGTACACGGTTTTTATTGGACTCGAAGCGATTGCAAAGCGATATTTACTGAAACATAGTGCTCAAATTACAGTGTAATCCAAAGTAAATTTTAACAGTTCAACACTGTTAAACACAGTGTTGTGTGTCCGTGTGTTGGTGATAACGTCACTAACCGTATAAAGAACAGTAAAACAACCGTGCGTGCCACACTGTAAAATTGAATGAATCGCTCTGTATTCAATACTGTTACACTGTAACCGTTGCTGCTGCGTACAGTATGAAAATCGGTGATGTCATCTAATTTTGACAGTTGAACACTTTTACTGGAAACATTGATGAATTTACTGTATCGAACTGTAAACAATCCAGTGTAACTGTTAAAATCTCAGTTTGGACAGGAAAATTCTCTGTTCCACTATAAAATGAAGTGGGTACCCCGTTGTTTAAGCAGTTTACACTGCGATATTTACTGTTTCTTTTTTTCCGTGTAGTAGCTCATTTGTCAATTTGAAATTGAATTTGAGTTTAGAATAACGTTATAATTTTTATTATTTTTAAAGCATGTAACTGCTTGATGTTTAAATCTAAAGAAAATATAACTAGAAAAAAAAGCGGTAGCATAATTGGTCAGTGCATTCGCCCGGATTGCGAAGGGTGCGGGTTCGAGTCCCGTCTGCTGCCTGGTCCGCGTGGAATTTTTTCTAGTTATATTTTCTTTAGATTTAAACATCAAGCAGTTACATGCTTTAAAAATAATAAAAATTATAACTATAATTGCTATTTCTTCTTTCAAATGTTTAATACTTGTAAAAGTATTCATTTGACATTGTGGGTTTACCTATAATGCGAAGAGATGGCGCTGCCTTGCAGCTTAAGAATAGCTAGAAGGAATTTCGACGCGGTCCGTGAGGGCCGCGGTAGCATAATTGGTCAGTGCATTCGCCCGGATTGCGAAGGGTGCGGGTTCGAGTCCCGTCTGCTGCCTGGTCCGCGTGGAATTTTTTCTAGTTATATTTTCTTTAGATTAGAATAACGTTGTTTATTTTTTGTTATCGATCATGTTGAGAGCTATCATAGATTATACGGTTACCGTTGTGCTACAACCTGTATCATACATATTTTGTCATCGGAAATTTATTTAGCGAAAATGAGTTCTAGCAGAATTTGGTGCCAGATGGATGGATGTGCGGAATAGAAATCATAGCATTAGTGGTGATACTTGATGAAATAAGGCTGGTAGTAGGGAATTACGACTTACAACAGTCAGCGACACACCTAGCGTCAACTATTGTAGTACGTCCCAGACCCCAGGAAGTTGAAAACATCGCCACAAATATCATAAATGAGAACTGATGCAAGGCAAGAGCGAATGAAAGCTTCATTAAAAAGTTGATGGGTGGAATTGGCAAATTGATCTCACTACCGTCAAGCACGTGAGCTTATCGCTTATTCAATGTGCTACGGGCGTACTCATCAAAACTACCAAATAACCGAACTAACGATAACAAACAGCACATGCCTATCGAGGAGGCTTGGCGCATGTGTTGGAAATGTTGAATAAGGAGTTCTATAATTGTTGATTTGAAAAAAAAATAAAAAATAAATAAAAAAATCTTGTGAGCAGGCTCGAGCCTCGAGTCTCGAGCCAGCTCACAAGATTTTTTTTTTGAATTAAAAAAAAAATTATTTATAAAAAAAAGTTTTTTTTAATTAATTTTTTTTTTTTTTTTTTTTTTTATATTTTAATTTTTTTTTTCAAAGTTGAGGTTTGAGGGCCCCCTGAGCTCCGGGGCCCTGGTGCACTGCACCTCCTGGCCCTATGATAGCTACGCCACTGGAAGATATAGAACAGTAGATGTAGATTGAATGTTATACACGTCAATAAATATTTATAATCTTAGTTTACATAATTTATTTGTTATTTACAGCTGCACCTCTAAGTGAATACTCACTTTTTTATAGTGGTGTGCGAATGTCTTATACTACCTGCAGTGACGAAGATGTCAATAATGGAAAAGCAGAGGTTTCAAGGTGCAATTGAAGAATAAATAAGATTTTTTGTCATTCGAAACAATTTAAACTAAACTGATTGTACTGATTAATAAAACTTCATTTATCAATAATTTTATATTTGCGTTCTTTATTGAGTTACATAAATTTATCAACATTTAATACAGGACTATTTAAATTAGTCATACCACAGGCAACAATAAGACAATCTTCAAAATAAGGTAAAAGCAACCATGCAACTTCTGCGCCAATAACTCTTTGAATGACTCTTTCCACATGCACCCTGGCTCTTGCAATTACTGCACTCTCCAAAGCTTCTTCTCTGGATAATTGTTTCTTGTTCGATAAAAATGGAGGATGATGAAGTGTCAAATGATGCTGTAAGTTAACAAATAATGAGTTTTTTAAACCAAAAATAGACTACATAGAGATTAATAACTACCTCTAAACATTCTTTTTCAATAAAAAAACCTTTGTCGGCCATTACTGCATCTTGTAAATCAATTTTATCTAAAATATTTGATTCTAATGTAATGAGTTTATCAGATGCTCGTCCTCCATAGCATCTACTCACTGGTGTAATTAATCCTGAAGGTGCAATTCCTAATTTAAATTTTGCATTGTGGCCTTTCTTATAATGCAAATATGTTAATATACGACATTTCAGACAGTTTGACCGTTCAACAGGAGTTTCAGCACAGTCTATAACAACTCGAAAAACTTCAACTTCAACTTTTTTGCTGTACCTAAACGTTGAAATTAGAAACATATTATCATAAAAGTGTTGATAACTTCTGATGTGAATAACAGTAAGGTTAATGATTATTAGATCGTACCTGGAAAGTAATCTAATTCGGTAAAATGTTCTGAGCAAACTCGCATATTATTTGATCATGGTTTTCCTAATATAAGAACACTTTCCCAACGTTTTCTCAACTTGTCATTAGTAGGAAAAATATGAAAACTTAAACCCTCTTTATTATAATTATTACATTGAGGAACACAACAGTTAGTATTTCCTTTTTTTTATTATTCTTTGTATCTATCATAACACTTAAATTATCGTAATATATCGCAAAGTTTTTTTGAAATTCTTGAAAAATTATGAACAAAACGGTACATGCTATGAATATTCGTATTTCTATCTGTCATACATTAGTTCTGCGACTTGCCGCTAGGGAATCTGCTCATCGCCAATAAGTTCTTGAACCTTTGAATTTTTATAACTCAAATACTAAATTAAGCGCAAAAAAGTCCCATTAAACTCGATTGTTTGAGCATGAACCAGTTTTTATTAATTCCTGAAAAACTCTGATAGCGAGACTTAAGAGGTTTTTGAAATGACTGATTAAAGTGTACTTTAACTATTAGTAAGTAGTTGGGCGCATTTCTTCGAAGTCTAAATTTTTCATAAATAACTAGTAAATACTTTTTTAAGTTCTCTGTGTACTTAAATTACTATTTCACACTGTGTTTCTTTCAAAACTAAGTACTTGTTAGTTTATAAGTTTACATAGAGCAATCTTGTTTATTCACAAGTTGTACATACTTTGAAGGGATTACCAAATAAAAATCTAAAATTAATTGTCTTACTTATTTGTATCCGGTCCGATCTGATTTTTTGAAGATCGGGTCGACGGCATCGGATCGTGGCATTACGATCCGAAAAATCAGATCGACGACCCGGATCGCACATCCCTACCATGTCCCCCACAGAATACAGAGATACAGACTACTTAGGTACTTTTGCGGTATTTACACTACCCAATTTTAAGGGACCCTTACCCTAAGGGTTGTGTTGAGTAAGATGAATTAAAGTGCGTTTCATCAAATAGTTCCTATGCCGTCATGTTAGCACATTGTCTGTCAACAGTGTCATCACGTTAAGACATCTCTCCTGGTTAACTAGTTAACCAATTCAATTCCTTGTTAAATTCTTAACCAACATGACGGCATTAGAACTATGTGATGAAACGCACTATAGGGAGTAAGGGACCCGATCTAGGGCGATCGGTGCGACCCCATCTCTTACGCCCTGACGATTGGGTAGTGAAATTGCATAGGTAGGAAGGGAGCTCAGTCGACGGTCTGAGAGTGTATAGTTCAGACACTTTTGTAGTTGAATTAGTTTACTAGCGCGATGGCATCTAATGAAGAGAAAGAAGTGTTACCTAATTTTAATCAAGATCTATAATTTTTGTGGCAAAAAGATATCAAAATCTATTTGAATAAGGCACATGTTTATACAATCAGTGAAAAATAGTAAATAAGCCTCAAAAAATACAATTGATAATCTACCTTTAGGTTACCAAATTGTATTTTTTTAAGTGACTTTTAAAAAAATAATAAAGATCATTTACTTACATTTTTCCCTTTAAATAAAGAGAAAAATTCCGAAGGACACAGAAACGTTTAGAAAAAAAAAATATCAAAATGCATCCAATGCCATAACGACGACGTTCAACCGAGACGAATTTTACTTTCAGGCTGACTTAGGGTCCGATTGATAGGGCGGTGCAATAATTGCTACTCTAGCTAGGGGCCATGCCCACCCTTTCGATGGGGTCCTTAAAATTGGGTAGTATAAATCCCGTTTAAGTGATATTTCCTTTCCCCCACCCACGACCCACAGCCTACGGCACAGATTACACATGATGATGGTCTGCCTGCAATGAGCTCGTACGAAGATCTTGTTGCACGTGGTCGAATCGGAACTAATTTTAGTAGGAAAGATATTGCAATAACGCATCCGATATTATCGACCGATAATAAAGAGACAAAAGCAAAGCAATGAGTTATTGCAAATTATGGCTTTCCCTACAAGTGAGGTACGTAAGCTTTATACATTTTGTCAAAATTGAAACGATGCGTTCAGAGCGTAGGTTTGGAACGTAGCCCTGTCTGTCATTCATTGTCAAAAAAAAGGGCGCGAAATTGAAAAGTGAAGGCGCGGTTTTTAAATTTT